GGCAGGAATTCAACCTTTGATACGGAGGTCTACAGTACTGTGAATTGGACATGTCTACGTTTACTCTACGTGCTACTCTCCACTTGCTTCCGCTTTCAGGCGTCGTGCGTGGCAAACGTCTTGTACGCCGTCGTGGTGGGAGCTGCGGTGGTCGTTGTGGCAGGGACCACGATGGTGGTCAAAGCGGACGGAGGAAGCGACTTCTCCAAGACAGGCACGCCTTCGACCGAGTCGGGCTTCTTGATGCAGTCGTCGCCGGACGAGCATGCTTCACAAACTTGCGCATACAGCTTTCGGCGGCATCCAGAGTTGCATCGTCGCGAGTTTTCGTAGCACTTGGGGTTTTCGGACGTGAGGGTCGCCAGTTTGGGGAGAGGCGTCATTCTCGGGTCATATATGGTAAGAGACTGGTAGATCGTGATGAGCATGTCCGAGCGGGCGTTATTGGCCGCGGGGTCGAGCGGGTCCTGCCAGAAGGGGAGGTCTGTTTCAACGCCACCGGCTTCGCAGAATTCCTTGCGGGTCACGTACGGCTTGCCCGTGTTGGGGTTGGTCAATGCGGTGATGCCGACGAGGTCGTCCAGGTTGAGGTAGCCCAACACTTGGGCCGAGAACGTGCACGTGATGCCGTCGGGGTGGGTGCCGAAGGGACAGAGCCCACCTTTCTCAGCAGCGCGGCACGCATCTGTCTTGCCGGAGAATCCTTTAGTGAAGCACGAGTTGGGGAATGAAAACCAAATGTTGTTAGGGTACGGCGCCTTGGGGTGGTTCGTGCGGTCTTCACCGCCAACGCACGGCCCGATGTTGTTTTGGCCCGCCAAGCCAGCAAACTTGTTGCATACGTCGGGCAAGAGCGCGTAAGTTGAGTTCTCCCACATGGCCGAGCATTTGCCGCCATCGAGCGCGACGAACGGGCAGTACTCGGGGTACACGCCCCAGTCCGAGTCATATTCGGCAAGGGACGCGTTCGTTTGGGCGATTTCAATGTCATAAATCCACACGAACTGCATCTTGTTCTTGCGGTCACAGTATGGCTTTTCGGGGCCGTCGATGATCCCTTCGGACTGAACGTACATCAATGCACCTTCCACGCTCGCAGTGTTGACACTGTCCATGGATGCACGCCACTTGTCTTCAAAGGTCTTGCCATACGGCGCGACCCACTGCTTATGGGTCTCGTCATACTCGGGCGCGACGCCTTGGACGCGGGCTTGGATCGTGCGGACTCGGGTCATGCCCCATGCAGACACTTGGCCGACTGCGCACGCCGCTGCCAGCAACGAAACACTTTGAACCATGACAATTGAAGAGTGAGGTGTCAATGTATCCACCAAGTGGGGTAAATAATTCGCCCCAAAGGTAACGTTTGAGAGGCAATGGTTTTTTCGAGCCGCAATCGAAATACCAATGCATAATCGGTGAAATTGACTTGCCTCAGGGGTAGGGGGCGTCGCACAAAACCAAGGTTCTGCGACAAAAATATCCTATCTATGCCACGTGCCTGGCGGAACAGATCAGCGTTGGTGCAAATGCAAGATGCAGGCAAACGGCATGCAAGCTTATACTCTTGCAAGTGGCTAAGCTCCACGATGCACAACTAGGATTCGTAGCCAAGGTGTTCATTGCATTAGACTCATGTTGGATTGGAAAACATCGTCCTCTCATGTTACTGCAAATTTGTAAGAAAATTGTCTCGGTTATTACAAATGATCTATTCCGGCAACTTGAAGCATTCGAGCAATTGCACAGGCACCAAGCATCCCTTGTGGACCTTTCAGCGCGCGATCTTCACAGGAGCAAAAAACTCGATCACATCTAATGAGGGCCCAATCGTCGGAGTCGGGGGTTGTGAAACTCCTCCAATTGTGTTGGACATGTGTCGAAACTACTCAATCGTATCATTTCGTGCAGGTCTCCAGCTCTGGGAGAAATCCCATAGGTCACGTTCCTGTTAGATGTCGCAGGTACCAGTCGCCATGTCGTTGTGTAGACTCGTCATCAGTAGAAGGAAATCTACTCTGACGTGGTCGAAGAAATCGACTCAATCGAGGACAGCCATGGCTGCTGCATTGCGAAGTCAGCGTCAAGATCAACGGCCACAGCGGTCTCTCTTGACGACTCAACCAAGACACTCAAGTGGACCGTGGGAAAATTTAACCCGAAGAAGGTGATGTCGCCGTCGCTGAAAGGGTCAATCGTCTTACAGCACGGTGCGGCGACGCTGGACGAAAACCCGATCGTCCTCTTCGGGTCCAACGTCCCGTTCACGGCGGTAAGTAGCCTCGCTGTTGATACCCTCGTCCTGAACAAAGAAAACTACCAACCGCACTAGGGCGTTCGCACCCTCGCCCATGCGGGGCGGTTCCAAAAATCCTAGCGTCGAACCCATCCATGCCTTGTACTACCTCGTCGACGGGTCGGTAGATTCTGTCAATACAGCTTTCAAACTCGATCAAGAGACCTTCACTTCTACTTCCGACACTGGCTGTCGTGCCTCGACGTACCGACGCGCGGCTGGCATCTGGTAACGAGTGGAATTTGATGGAAGCAAGCGACTCTAATTACATCGAAAGTATAACAGCGTCGTAATTACCAGGTTAGAGTTCGATTCAGAGCACTGACCCAGACAAGGAGTGCGAACACGATGAAAGGGGCAGGTCTCACGAGTTGTGCACGAAGTAGGGCAAGACGCGAGGTGCAGTCCATCACGTGGTCAGCGCTTTCGACGTCGACGGTGCTGCAAGTCCAATTTAGATCCGACGATGGTGGCTACGCGGGCGGACATGAACAGGATGAGTCGGACTCTTCCAGCAAAACTGACACCCCAACGAATCGTACATCTTGGCGCATGTCTTGCACAGGCACAGCGAGCTGCGCCAGCCTTGGGCCCAGAATGTGGGCATATGCCAGGGACGGTGAGACACCATCGCCGTCATTCGACAGGCACCAGACGCAAGTTGATCTATCGGTGCTACGGAAGCGCTTCAGACTGTGTATTTGTACAAGTACGCATTGACACACCATCTCGTCAAAGTCGGTGTCCAACATCACGGCTTTTGTGGCTGACATAATTGAGCTAACAACGGGTAAGGATGCATCTAACGATGGAGGCACCTAAGAAGAGAAGCTCTTCGTAGAACCACTTCAAGCGGCGTTGCAATAGCAAACTGTGCGCTTTATCTAAAGCGACAACTTGATTTACTGTTCATGGCGTTGTTTGGATTTGGAAGTTGTAGCTGTCTGTGCACACGAAATCGTCCGAGACAACCAAAGAACTCGACGAAGAGACAACAATAAACGCATTAGATGATCACTGCAAAAACTGCCACTCCCGCAGGGTTTCGATCCAAGTACTTCCACCACCCCAAATCAAATGAGATCTCGCAGAATAAGAATTCAAAATGTGTCTAAACTATTAACTATAGATGGTTTAGTATATTCGGGTGAGCGTGAGTGTTTTGTACTTCGTACTTCCTTGAGGAGCGTACTTTGGGAAAAACACTTCCACTCTCACAACCAATACTTTCTAAATTTGAGCCCATGAAATCGCATTTTTCCAAATTTGTGATTTGAACCGATTTTGTGTGAATTGGACTCTTTAGATGTGACGAAACCCTGCACTCTCTTCAGAGTCAAGGCAAGCAACCAGTTCTTTCGAAACTGTGTTGGAGGACCGTCTCGGTCGTGACGAAAAAATCGTGCGCCACCAATCGTCGGAGTCGGGGGTTGTGAAACTCCTCCAATTGTGTTGGACATGTGTCGTCGACACTCGAGCTTGTTGGAGTGCTGCCAAGTGTTGAAATTTTGGGGGATTTACTTGTGCAAAAAGGGGGGAGCACACGTGCTCGGGGTTCTCCAAGTGCTTATGTTGACTGTGAATTACGCAGCTTAGGGGACTGGAAAGTGCTATGTTGAGTTGGATCCATGCCGACGCCAGCTCTTTACCGTGAGAGTTTTCACTCCCGCCTAGAACCAAGTGGAACATCTAGTGGAGGTCAAATCACAACTGAATACGTCAATAGCGTCCCTAGCCAGCCATTCCCTATGTATGGCCCGGGACGGATGGGGTCGACCAAGTACAAGCCAAAGACGACGGACGGGCTGAATCACACTTAAGGCCTACATTCCACCAATCAGATTTAGACATGCATACCGAACTACCCAATCAGTGACTGCTGCATAAACTGTTGAAGTGACATGTTGGACGAAACAGGCGTCGGCATACTGTATCTCCAAGAGTCTAGCTGGCACAACAACGAATCGCGCGACCCACTCAAATTGGCACCTCATACGACCATGGCCCACGAATGGCTCCACGGTCGAGCTTGCACAGCGCGCCATCCTCCCTTCCAACGCTCAACCGTGCGTGCTGAGAACAAGATGAAATGCCATTTTTCACACAGCTGTACGGCAAGTACAAATTCTAGATGGCTGCGGCCTGAGTAGAAAAGTGCTTTGCTGGCGCACTTGTTGCGCTTAGACTTTGCAGGCACAAAGTCCCGGGTTTGATCCCCGAGTAGCCTTGTGATGATATGCTAGATCACCCCTAAATTTCATTTCAGGGACCGCCAATTGTCCCCTGGGACGTGTTGAACGCGAGTGAGATGCCAGGGAATCGAACGTGCAAATGGTACTTGTTTTCGTGTCATGGCTCAGAGATGGCTGGTTTTCCGCGAAATCTATTGAAATAGAATCTTTTTGGGGGGACGAGCACTCATTAAGCGGGCGTTAAATCGTGCTCCATCCATGCAATTGTGAGGAAACAAGCCCAGCTTGAAGGGGCGATCTAGAGCCCTCTACATGAATTCAGATGCAGTTCTCTCCAACGTTCGGGCTAAACGTTGTTGTCATGGATTTCATGAAAGTGTCCCGACAACATCACGGATCCATCGACTGCAATTTTGGTCACACTGGCATACATAAGAGCCCTTGTGTTCCGCCACTCTTGGTTTCCTTACCCCGAAACGACACGTGTGGATCCTCCAATACATATCACACGTGGGAATCCACCAACAAGGACGAGCGAAAACCCTACGGTTGTTTTGTTTCCATGGCAAACACTTGCCCTACGCCATGCATGTCCGAGTCATCCCTGTCCATGCGTGATGATTCGCGTAGTCCATCAATGCCTCGATTTACATCGTGGGACGAAATCCTTGCATGAAAAACGTGACCGTCCATGGCTCTGGAGAAAGAGTTCAAAGGCGAGGGCCGACAACAGTGTTTGGCACCAACAAGCACCAAACAGTGAAGCGTTGATCACTTTAAAATGGCCCCGCTATCAGGGGCCACGTCGGACGACACCTGACTCGATGCGCGTTCACCTTTGACCGTGGAACCGGCATCTGTGGACGCGCCCTTGACAGTGGATATGGCGTATCGGGTGTTGCGCAAGCGCCAAAACTTGGGGCCCAGCATAAGCACCACAACAAGCACCTGTGCTCCATCCACGTCAACTCAGTGGACGATGTCAGTCATGACGCAGCAGCGTACCGTGCAAAAGAGGACGACCCCAGACACGATGGCAAAGATCGAGGACGCGTCCAAGTCCATGAAGTATGCCACAGGGGTGAGAATCATCGCGCCGACCACAACCACAACCGACGATGCCAAAATCCACATCGACTCTTGGAAGTCTGCGTCGGCATTGCGAATGAGGAACGCCACGTAGCTACCCGCGATCAGGACCAGCGTTTTGAAGAAGATGGTCATGGCTTTGAAGATAAACGTGGACGAATGGCACATGTAGTGGTCGACGGTGCCGTCGAAAGTCTTGGCAGCGGCGATCGAGATGGCTGGGTGTGGAAAGTCTGCGAGCAGACCGATGACAACGACCCCTACGATATGATCTCGCCGAAGTAAGTCGATGTCTTTACGACACGATGGCGGTACCAGTATCGATGACCACAATGACCAAGTACAGCTTTATCATTTTCCACAGCGTGACTTTGATCTTCTTCCGGTTCTCGCCAGCGAGAAAGAGCAAGTACACCCGGAGTGACTTGACGAAAATCGCCGTGAATGTGACCGAGAACGCCAAGGACGCCAGGATCGGGCGGGCGGCACACAACACATCGGTGGGCTCGCCCCCCGTCAGGATAATATACACACACATTAAGATGCCGCCGACAACGATGAGCAACAGCAGCGGCCACTGAGCTCGCTTGACAACTGACCGTTTGCGGAATGCCACGACCAGGATCCCGCACACGACAAGGAACATGATGACGATACATGTCAGCATCGTGATGCTTTCGTACACCTACACGTGTGTTGCAATGAGCGCGTCGAACAAAGACTGGATCGACGTACGGGGCTTGCGACTGGGATGTAGTCGCATTCGACAACGAGGTTTCCGGGCAACGCAATGCCGCCCGTGCACTCGGTGCTGCCGTTCACACGTCCGGGGAGGCGCCAAAAGAACGTCACGGGACGTGTCGAGTCAGGCGTACACGGCCCAATGGTGTAATTGTAGTGAAGCCTTTCGCACGGCGGCTTGGTGTGCATCCACAGGGGCCACTCGTCGGCGTTTTCCATGAGCCATTCAACCGACCTGCTCGTCTTGAGCGGCGGCGGCACCGTGATGATTCCGCCGTCGCACAAGTATGGCTCGGTCGCGTTGTCGGGGTTTGGGTTGAACCACGCAAACGAGATCGTTCGGAAGTCAATCTGGGACGTGTTGACGGGAGTGGTCATGTTGTCGAACGAGTCAGTGATCGTGACTTTCAAATGATTTTCCAACGTGCAAAGGGGCAGCCGCTCAATCCATCCGCGCCACGTCCGCGAGTTTTGTTGCACCCACCGGCACGCAGTTGCAAACAGCGGATCGGCGACGGTCGGGTCATTTTGAAGCGTGTCATATGACGCCAGGAGGTTCGTCATGTCCAGGGGTGTTAGTGCAAAATTCGTGAGGAAGTTCAACAGCGTCGGGTTGTGCACCATTGTGTCCGAGTAATATTTCATGAGTGGCGACGCGGGAAAGTCGGTCGATACGAGGTTCACGTTCCTAGAAGTAAGTCATGTGCCCGCTCGAATCATGCACCGAGCCTTCGTACGTCGTCCACGACGTTGTGGCAGTGGAGTTGGCGCGGGGGAACGTGATGCGCGTAAAGAGGCCCTTCTTGTCGGTATGGAACACGTCCGGCTCGAAGTGGTAAAACACAATCGACTTGTTTTGGCGCATCGTGTCGACGACGTATTGATTGAGTCCGGCGTACCCGGCAAAACAAAACATGGCTGGGATCTTGGAGTTGGTCAGGAGCGCCTCAAAATACCCGGGGTCTTGCGCCGGCGTCATCATCCCCACCAAGAGGCATGGTTTGCCTGGCAGTGTCATGCATCAAGCCAAGTGGAAAGGTTGTCATAACTCTGTCGACGTACCCTGGCCTTCGGCAGTGATGCAGTGTGTGTTCTTGGAGCATCCGTTGCGGCACGTCATGCCTGGAGTCGTGTCGGGGCACATCTGCGACCGGCCAATCTGCGTTTGATTGAGGGTTCGCTGGACGGAATAAAAGTTGATGAGCTCGTTGCTTTGGACGTATTCGCGCCAATAGTCCGCCGAATACGGACGTGAGAACAACACTAAGCAGACACTCTAAGGTTCTTGTGGGGTCGCGAGTGGGGCGACGTACCACCGCCAGAGGCGTTGCGGCCCTGGAGAGCTGTGTTGACGTTGGCCTTGAGTGTGTAGAGGCCACTCCTACAACCACAGCAGTCAGATGCAAGTGCTCGTGCGGAGCAGCCAGACTGGGCATTGTAGCCAACGGCGGAGGAGATGCTCGAGTTGGTAAAAAGTCGGGAAATCTGCGTTTTGTCTGGCGTGTACACTTCGACGTTGGCGTGGGTGGGGGTACACTTGCCCTGTCCAGTCGGCGAAATGCGCTCGAACACACCCGTCGTGTCGCTTGTCTCAAATTGCGTCACATCGTACCCGACCTGCCATCCCATTTAGCAACGCGAGTCGAATCACATCGAGGTCGTACCGATTCTTGCGCGAGGATCGACATAATCGTGGACGCGATCGCTTGGCTCTGTTTTGCCGTGACTTCAACCACAAACGTTCCATTGATGACGCCGCGGTAGGCCACGGTCCCGTTTGCATAAACTCGCTCGCCAACGCCATGTAGGATGCCTCGGGCGCCGCACTTTGGATCGTACCCATTCCGTTGCCGTGGGTCGACGACCTACGGCGACAGTGCTGCCATCGCACCAGTTTCGACATGTGTATTCGTCCGTACCTGGTAGCGCGGATATTTTAATGCTGGTTGGAGCGTTTTGTACACCAGACGAAGCTGATCGTCTCTGGCGTAAGGGTTGAGTTTGGCTCTTGCGGCCGTGGCGGCAACCCACGCGTCGGTGAGGCACGTCCTACGCGTGCGTTCGTAGCGACCTGGTTGCGTCGCCTCCATGTCCGATCGGTTTCACGAGTATTCGACTGTGTGTTCAAGGGTCACGTGCGTAACGCGTGGCGGTTACACAACAAAAAAGGACGACATTATTGTTCACCGTTTCGCTCCTACTTTTCCCGTCGTCTTGTCTTCGACATGGATGGCATCGGACGAAAGTTGCTCGGAATTCTTGACGGCGGGGGTCTTGGCGGACGTCGACTTGATCTTGCCGAGCCGCCAGAGCTTGGGCATCACCATGAACGCAATCACGAGCACCTGTACACATCCATCAGCCTACCGAGCCCACACGCCCAAGCACACTATTGTGTGTGCAAGCCACACGTACCATCCCGAACAAGAGCACGAGCGATCGCAACGTGAAGCTCAACGCGGTCGACATGGTCATGTACATGAGCGGAATCATGACAATCCCGCCGACGACCATCACCACCGCCGACGCGACGATCCACTTGGTTTCTTGAAAGTCACTGTCGGCGTGGCGGATCAAAAAGGCAAAATACAGCCCGGTCCCCACGATGAGAATCTTCCAAAACAAAGAGAGCGCGGAAAACACCAACCCCGTCGACTTACACGTGACATGATCGACGTCCCCGTCAAATTCGGTCGCGGGGGTCGTGAATATCGTGGCATTGGGATAGTCGACCAAAAGCCCCACCACGACGATGCCTACCGAAGGAAACGTCATGAGGGTGGATGGGGCAGAGTTGCCTACCAATGTCGATGGTAACGATGAGAGAGTACAACTTGAGCATCTTCCACAGCGACACGGTGATTTTCTTCATGGCTTTGTTGTTGAAGACCAAGTAAACACGCAAGCACTTGACCAAAATCGCGACAAAGATCATCGAGAACGACAGCGAATCCAAAATTAACAGGCTGCCGCAGATCATGTCCGTGGACTGATACGCCCCCAGGATGATGTCGACGCACAGGATCATACCGCCGATCACGATGAGCACGAGCAACGGCCACTGAGACCGCTTCACGACGGCTTTTTCGCGAAACACGACGATGACAATCCCACAGATCAGCAGTAGCGAAAAGATAATGCAGCTCAGCATCGTGATGCCTTGGAATGCCTACGGAAGGACCAGACGGACCCGTCAGGGAAATGTACGAGGTGTGTCGCTACACGGAACACTATCTACCGAGGAGGACGTGGGGACGTAGTCGCACGAGACAGAGGTCGTCGGTGGGAGCGAAATGCCGTCAACGCACTCGAGACTTCCACCATCCCCGGGCACGACCCAAAAGAACGACACTTGGCGTCGTGACTCTTGGTTGCAGGCATCGATGGAGTAGCTGTAGTGGGAGCGGTCGCACGGGGGTGGCGTGGCGAGCCAATCGTTCCATTTGGCAAAGTTATTTTTGAGCCACTTGGCCGACTTGCTCGAAAAGAGTGGCCGGGGAAGCTCCAGCATCCCGCCCTCGCACACGTAAGGCAGCGACGCGTTGTCCGGGTCTGGTCGAATCCACTGAAACGTGACGCGCCTCGCTGTCCCGTTGTTGACTTCGGCAATCGTGTAGTTCATGTGGAGGTGAATCGTACACAGCGGCAACGTGTCTATCCAAGCGCTCCACGTGCGGAAGTTTGTTTGAACCCACTGGCACGCGGTCGTGAAGACCGGGTTCGTCACGGCTTTGTTTCGCCGGTGGACGGAATAGTTTCCCAGCAACGTGGTCATTCGCCGTGCCGTGATTTGGAACCGTGTGAGCAACTGGTGGAGGTGCTCGTCGTCGTCGAGAAATGCAGGGAAGGTCTTCATGAGCGTCGCATCCGGGAAGTCGACGTCGACGGGATTCTGTGTCGGCATGCCATACCTAAGTCGAATGGGTCACGAGTCGAAGGGGGGCCTGGAGGTCGATCGATCGATACCCCAACACTCCAAATACCCCCCGCGAGAGGGCAACTCGCTCCGGGTCCGTCGGTGGGAACGCCACCCGCGCAAACTTGCCGACGTTGTCAAAGTGGAAAATGTCCGGCTCAAAATGGAAAAACAAGATCGTGCCGTTCGCGGCCATCGTGTCCATCACGTATTCGTTCAAGCCATCGTACCCCGCAAAGCAATAGTACGCCGGGATGAGGCAATTCGCCACCATGGCCTGCGCGTACCCCGGGTACACGTCGGGCGTCATCATGGCGATAACTACGCAATGCTCGCCTACAGCCAGCAATATTGTTCATCGATATCGACCGACGATGTGCAGCGCACCTTTGGCCTCCGCGGCGGTGCATGCCGAGTTCTTTTCACAGCCATTTCGGCACCCCATCATCCCGTCAGGGCATACCTCGGGTCGAGCGATCCGTGTGAGGTTCAGCGTTTGCTGGATCGAGTAAAACTCCACAAGTTCCGTGCTTTGGACGTACTCCCGCCAGAATTCTGCCGAGTACGATCGCGAGAACCCTACCCAAACACCAGTTCGGATCACGCTTCATGTCTGGTGCACAGGATGTAAGGTTGCTCGCCACGTACCGTCCGCGGCATCGCCCTTTAACGCCGTCATGACGTTACTGCGCAATGTGTAGATGCCGATTCTGTACACAGTGTGATTGGAGGGTCGACGTGGTGATCGTACTGGGAAGTGTATCCGATGCTGGAAGATGTTGTTTGGTTGGCATATGGGCTGATCGCAATGACGGTGTCCACCTCGACATTCATGTGCGTCGGGGTGCATATGCCCCTGCCTTTGGACGACATCCGTTCCGCCGCGTACATGCTGTCGTCGGCCTCAAAGATAGATACGTCAAACCCGACCTAGAACACGCGAGTGAATCCGCTACAAATTCCACTAGCCTGCCGACTTCACCACTTCCTGAATGAGAATCGCCAATACGGTCGTTGAGAGGGCTTGCGATGGCCAGCTCGACAGCTCCATCGTGAACGTTCCTTCAACCGTCCCCGGGTCTGCAATCGACCCATTCGGAAATGTTTTCTCGCCAACGCCGTGGAAGACGTGGCCCGCTGGAATACAACTGGGATTGAACGCACCAATCTGCCTCGGGTCGGCAATCTACTCGCTCTCCATGAACCTGAGCTTCCTCGCTTCCGCGCGTACCGTGAACCGGCGATGCTTCAACGCCGGCTGCAAGAACCAATTTACTCGGCGCCCCTGCTCGTCTCGCTCCGCAGGGTTCAGTCCCGTCGACGCGACAGTGTCGGCGACCCACTTGGCATTCAAGCATGTTCGTCGAGTCTCGTCGTTCAGTCCTGGCAACGTCATCGGCATGTGCCCCCGCCACTGGCAAACTGTTCGTAACTGAATTGGCTTGTGAAACTGAAGCACGAGGGGGCGAGGTCACTAATACAAGGGAAAGTGCCTCGGTTGAAGAGATTCGCTCTGATTGGCTGGAATGATCACAAAAATGCCGCGCGACTGCGGTTTCAACGCTTTGATTGGCTGAATTTTTAGCCCCACGCCCGCCGCCCTTCAGCGTCTTTACAGGAAATGCCTAGGAGGGCCGTCGATTGGCTGAAATGCATCTTTTTGTCCAATCAAAAGCCACCCCTACGTCCACGTCCTTGATTGCCGACCCCTCGTGTTGAGCGCCACCTTGGATTTTTCGTCACCAGTCAACAACGATGGTGCGCCTCCTGCAAGTCCTGCGTCCGCTCATGAGCGTCCTCCCTGACGTCATCACACCCGACCGACGCATTCCGTTCCGCGAGAAGATCGTGTGGACTGTCGTTGTGCTGCTCATCTTCCTTGTGTGCTCCCAATTGCCACTTTACGGCATCAAGAATAACTCGGCCAGCGACTCGCTGTACTGGATGCGCGCGATCTTGGCATCGAATCGCGGAACGTTGATGGAACTCGGTGTAGGACCGATTGTGTCGTCGGGTCTCATCTTGCAACTTTTGGCCGGCTCTGGTATTCTCGAAGTCGACCAAAGCAACAAAGAAGACCGTGCGTTGTTCAGCGGTGCACAAAAGCTCGTCGCCGTTTTCATCACGTTGGCGCAAGCGACTGCGTACGTGTTTGCCGGTATGTACGGCAGCATTGGCGAAATTGGTGCGGCCTGCGCGATCTTGATCATCCTCCAACTTTTCGTCGCCGGGTTGGTCGTGATTGCGTTGGACGAAGTGCTGCAAAAGGGCTACGGGTTTGGCTCGGGTGTGTCACTCTTCATCGCGACCAACGTGTGCCAGAACATTGTGTGGGACACGTTTGCCCCCGTCTCGATCGTGACTGGCCGTGGCACTGAATTCCACGGCGCCGTAATTGCGTTCTTCCACGTGCTGTTCACCCGCGAAAACAAGTTGAACGCCATCAAGGAAGCCCTCTACCGCCAAAACTTGCCCAACGTGACCAATGTGCTGTCGACCATCCTCATGTTCGTGCTCATCACGTACGTTCATGGTTTCCGCATCGATCTCCCCATCAAGTACGCGAAATTCCGTGCGCAACAAGGCATGTTCCCCGTCAAGTTGTTCTATACGTCCAACATGCCCATCATCTTGCAAACGGCGCTCGTGTCCAACTTTTACTTTGCGTCGCAATTGCTCTTCAAGAAGTTTGGCGATAACATTTTCATCCGCTTGATCGGTGTGTGGGCCGACGTCGATGGCACGACTGGAGCGATCCCCATCAGCGGCCTCGCCTACTACATTTCTGCGCCCGGCAGCGCCGCGGCCATCTTGTACGATCCGATCCGTGCGTTGGTGTACGTGGCGTTTGTCCTTGGGTCGTCGGCCTATTTTGCGAGCGTGTGGATTGAAATCTCCGGCTCGTCGTCGCGCGACGTGGCCAAGCAACTCCGCGACCAGCAGATGGTCATGAAGGGCCACCGCGACACATCCCTCGTCCATGTCTTGAATCGATACATCCCCGTGGCGGCGACCTTTGGCGGTGTCGCGGTCGGCGCGTTGGTGATTGTGTCGGACTTTTTGGGCGCGATCGGGTCCGGCACGGGCGTCCTCTTGGCCGTCACGATCATCTACCAGTACTTCGAAGCATTTGCACGGGAGCAAGCCGACCTGCAATCGTTGCTGGGCTTTTCATAGACTCTCCGACAGGGCGTTAGGACGACTCGAGCCCCCCATGGCCGGAGTGGAATCAACATATACAATAATGCCAAAGTTTCTCTCATTTTACTTCGTGGGATGCGCCTCCATCCCTCATAACGCGGGCTGGATGCATTGCAGCCCGAGCAGCGCCACGACACTCGCGTTGTAGTCTGGAGGAGGCGATGGCGGGCGGATACGCTGCTCAAGAACCTCGGAGACATTGTTGGACTCGGGCTCGTCGACGGTGGTGTAGGTGGGTGGAGGCGTACGAGGACGCTGGGACGCGAGCCGCAGCCTCGTTACCTGCCTTTGCTGGAGAAGCCATTGCGGTTTAACAGTTGGAGACGTCGCGGCCGGCGTGGATGGCGTGGCGGTTGCAATGACTTGGATCGTTTGCTGGGGGCGGCGAGGCGAGCCGACACAGGCTGCAAGGCCACTGCGTGGGCGCTGCCCACAAATAACAAAAACGATGTTAACTTGTCAATTTCCAGAGAGGACGTTCAACTCATGCACATTCACCTGGAGTGAGGCGGCCGACTTGAGGGCCCGTTGAAGGCTAGGCGATTGAGCTAAGATGCTCTTGGTGGTGCGAACGTGATCATGGGTTGAGGTCTTGTGGACATGATGGTTGCCAACGGAAGTCGCGAAGCTTGGACAAGGCGAGTGAATCCTATCGTGGACTTGTGCCAGCGTCGATGCGTCCACGACAAATTGCAGTTTTTCTAGACTCCGCTGGCGGCAAAGCCCCGACCGCATGACAGCCGCCGCGATTGTGTCGGGGGATGGTGGTGCCGTCAGTTTGATAGCGCCGTTCGCAAGCGCCAAGTTGGACGACTGGTGCAGTTTCTGGAGCACTGCCAGGAACGAATTGTTCGCGTGCAAGGTAGCGTGGAATTTTTCCTGCGACTTATTCTCCAAGTTCTTTTGGACGGCTTCACGGTGGGCTTTGTCGGTCGTGATGAGGTGCTGCTGTCGCAGTCGCCAATGCTCATCTCTACAACATCAGTGATGGGTCCTCTCTTAATGCAGATGACGACTCGACGCACCGTCCAGCCAGCTCCTTCACCGATGCCGGCGTATTGCTCGTCAAAATCAGTGTGAATGCGTCTCCCGCGGCGACCTAAGGTGCTCGTCATGGAGTCAGCCAGTCCACTAAACCCACCTGAAAGACAGGACATCCCAGAATCGATGTCACCAAATGCGGCAACATGTAAATGTGGGGAAATGCACCAAGGCCGCACTGCCCCTGCTCCCCGTTCCCCCACGCATACAGCAGCCGGTCGTCCGAGATGGCCATCTACATTTCACTCATCACGCACGTGGCAGCGGGGGACTGTTCATGTCGCACCGAGTGAAACTTGCCCAGGACGACGTGGTGAACACGAACATTGCGAAAGAAGACAACCTCGACAGGGTACGCGCGATCGCGGCAGTCGCCCACTCCGAGTTGCCCAAACGTGTTGGCTCCAAATGCAAACACTTCGTACTGGTCAGTCAGGCACATCGTATGGGCCCCGCCGCACGCCACCCAACTGCACAGCTTGCCCTTTAGGTCGACCTACCACCTGCCACGTTCAGAGATGACACGGCGACAACGCGTGAGACTCCGTACCCGTTCAAATGTGCACCCGCACACGTCCAGTGACTTGACGCGACCGAGGCGGCCGTTTTCGCTCCACCCTGCCGTGATCAGCTCGCCAGAATTGAGCACCACTGCCGAGTGCATGTCGCCACAAGCCACCTGGCCACACCAGGTGCAGGTCTGATCGATCGAATGTGCTATCGTACCTGAAATACAGACATTCCACGCAACGACAAGACTTCCCTTGGGCTGTCCACGTTTTCTCGGTTCCCATGGCCAAGAGCACCCGACTTGCCATAACCCCAAGACACCACCGCTCCCGTGTCCAACAACGCCAGAGTGTGCTTGAGCCCACACGCCATCTACAGTCGTGTCCATTTGAAACAAAACCTTCCCAACAAACAACTCTTGGCATTTGTACGTGGATGACTTTATGGCCCAGCGGCCATGGCAACTACATGAGCACTTGTCAAGCTTTCGAAACAGTGTTCCGGCCATCCTACTAATTTGGGCAGCACCAGGGACTGGACTTGCTTTGGTGGCACCCCTACACAATGCGCTGTGATGGGCGACCCGTTTGGCACTCGATAGACGCCGCACCGAGTTGCCCGCTGTCGTTGTCACCCCACGTCAGCAATTCGCCGTCGTCCGTGATGACAACAGTATGCGCCGCGCCGCACGCAACGTCCATGAGCTTCGAGTGCAATCGACCGTCAATGTCGATGCCGTTCCAAACTTCTGGTTTCGCCACTGGCCGCAGCGTGCCGAGTCCTGCAAACTCCGTCAAGTGTGGCACTTCACCAGCCATCGTGAAGCCAGCCAACTGTCTGCCAACTGTCTGCCAACGATACCAACGATTGCATCGTACCCAACTGGCCCCGACTCGAATCCCTAGCCGTCGCACATTAGCACGCTTTTATGATCGGGATGGACGCACCCGAAGGCAAAGAGCCGGCCGTTCGCGTCGACCACCATCGCGTGATGGCTGCCGCATGCGATATCACTGAGCATGGTCACGTGGACGCTCTCGCACAGAGACGTGGACCGCGCCGATCCGGTTTTCCCGAACCCAGACACCGACGACTTGCGCCCGCTCACGTACAGGTGGCGGAAGCTCACGTCGCCAAACTCGTACTTCGGATCGAATGTGTTTTGCCCGAGATTGCCGTACGTTGCTAAGGAATTTTATGTTGACTGGAGGTAGTTGCAGAGCAACGGGAACTGCAGCGCTTACCGTCGCCCGTCGACATGAGGTACTTGCCGCCACCGTGGAAGATCTTGACCGTCAAGGTTTTCGGCATGTGTTGGACTGCTTGGCCGCAGAACGATGCGTCGATGCTCTGGACCGAGTGCTCGAGCGTCATGGGCGCCATCGTGTCCTGTCGGAGGAGCGTAAGCGCAAGGCCAGAACAACATGACGTACGTCGTCGGTCTCATGGAGAACGCTCACGCGAAAGAACTGCGGGATGTGCGCGTTGTCCGGGTTGAACTTGATCACAGAGGGATAGATACGCAGCGTGTGTGCGGACGTCATGGGCGAGACAATGATGGGATGTGTGGGAGACGTCGCGAATTCGAAGTGCACCGAGTAGAACGCGGACGACCCCCCTTCGACGACTTTAAGCAAGTCGGACGAGTATCGCGCCATGACCGTCGGTTTAACCTTCGCCAAGCTCGACTTGGGCATGTAGGACACTTCTGATCCTCGTCGTTGGTTGGAATACACATTGGGGTTGACTGGAACAAGCACGGATTTGCGACGGCGGTGTCGGAAGGTGCTCATGATGCCTGCAATTTGAAGCGGTGTGCTCCGACGTTATTCCCACGGTTTCAGAGGAAATGAATATTCTTCCAGCATTAAAGGAGGGGAGGGCAATCATTCGAGTAGATGAAGTGTTCTTTGAGGCCCACAGGCAACCTGCCCGCTCAAGGAGCGGCAAAGATGGCGCGCTCATCGGGGACCCTGGCGGCGGTTGTTTCTCCACGATGTCGTTGAAACCCCGGGACGCTATCCGGATAACTAGACAACCATGAACGAGGCGTACATCCGCGACGCGGTCGTCCACAGGCTCATTCCGCTTCCCGTGGACATGGAAGATGTGCATGCGGAGCACATGGAGAAGCCCCTGCAAGTGGACCATTCGAATCTCAGCAGCTTGAAGAAGACGCTGGACGCATTCGCGCTCAAACACGGCTTCGTCGTGAAGCAAATGTACCGCACGACGTCGAACGCGAAGTGGGCGTGTCGACCAAAGCTCAAATCAGCGCAGCAAGAAGATGAACGAGCAGATACGACGTGTATCTTTTCAGTGAACGCCAACGTGCGCAAGGCGGGCGGCGTCTACATCACGAGCATGAACTTGAATCACAACCACGCATTGCAGACGGACGACGACGTCGAGAGTGTCGACATATCGTCGATCGAAGCACAAGCCGTCCAGGTGGACTTCCCTCATGCACGTACCATCGCTTCATGCCTGTTGGCTAGGACTTGGAGACATCACATGGAGCGACTCTCGATGATTGCCGACGGGGGGACAAACGCCCTCACGATACTGGCCTCTCGGGTGAAGCTGACGGCAGCGGGACGTCTTGGACACGCAACCTTTTGCGCCATCGAGACGCAGCAAGTGGATTCTGGGGAGATTCACGGTGGTATGATCTCCAAATTACGCGCCGCCTGCCTTTGGTCCCGCGCATGTTGGACGAGATTGTGTGGGCAATGCCGCCCATTGGACCCTCCCATCGCGTGGCCGATTTGTGCGCGGGAAGTGGGGCGTGCTCGGAGAAAGTGTTGGCTGCGTACCCAGACATAGAGATTGTGCTGTTCGATGGGGCGAAGGATCGCCTGGACCTCGCCGTCCAGCGCTTGCGCGCGACCGTGAGTTCGTCTTCCTCCCGTGCCATCAGCTTCCACGTCGCAGACCTCAACAAGATCTCCATCTTGCGGAAAGCCCCCTTTGACGTGATCGTCGCGTCCCTGGCCGTCCACGTTCTCGTGGAACGCCCGGCCCACGACTGCCACCCGTCGTCCTCGACGCCGCCGCGCCGGAATGACAAAGAAGCCGAGCACAAACGTGTATTCCAGCTGATGTTCAACTCGCTCAGCCCCAATGGTCACGTCCTTTTGGGCGACCACGTCGGGCAAGCTAGTTTGTTCTCCCACTTGAAATGGATGGAGGACGTAGGATTTGTCGACGTCGATTGTGCATGGCGTCAAGATGACTTTTTCGTGATCGGGGGCCGCCGGCCGCCTCACCTTCGCGGTCAGCTCGTGCTTTGATTGCTTGGCCCGTCTGCTACGTCCGCTGGTGGAAGCGTGTCCACTTGGACCAGTGTGTCGTCGCCGATCGAGATGGCGACGCTGTCGGTGGGGTGGCAACAACACCGATAGGCGCTGTACACACAACACAGTGTTGTGGAGAAGATGCAGAGCACGGCAAGAACGATGGCGGCAAACGTAATGGCCAACAGCGCGTCGGCCGTCACCGTGAACGGATTCCATGGCTTTGTGGACGGGGACAGGCACGTGCACGTAAACACCCCGACGTGGCAAGTCAAATCGACCGGACAGCAGCATGCCGATTGATTTTGCGGCTGCGGTAGAGCGAGATGGGGGCGAGTAAAGAAACCACAGAATGCACCTGGACGTTGGCTGTCGATGGCCAAGTCGCACTTGCCGTGGAGAGCGCAGACGAAACATCCAGCTTCCGTCATGGACCCCTCGTTCTGGCCATTCGTTTGGGCGGTCGCTACGAGCTGTATAATGAAGAGAACCCGCAGTGGGCGCATGCTGTAGAGATTTGGTTGTGTTTATCGTGGCAGGGCAAAGGCCAGGGTGCCTCGAACGCTATTTTTGGGACGAACTTCGGATGGGAGGCAATACGTCCTTGAGTCGCGCGAAATACTCCCGAGTTCCGTTGCATGGACGTTGAGCAGCAAGCACACCAGCGCAAAAAGTACGCTAGGCCCGACGGCATTGTAAGCTGTGCACCCCAAGTAGATCGAGTGGTCATGGCGACTCTTCAGTTACACGGCACCAAGTGTAACTGCAACGGGCATTTCATGTCGTGGCGTTGTCATGGGGCTCCTCGACGACTACTACCGGGAGGTCACGGCGCTCGATCACCGTCGACCGTACGTTGTCCTTGTCATGATGGATGACAGAGCACGTTGTAGGCAAGGACGGCGGCAGCTCAAGAAGCGACGACCACTTCCGCTTCTCGAGAAGCTCGATGATCCCGTTCGCCGTCCAAAAACGCAAGCCATCACGCGTCATCCTGTCGCAAAACTGAAAGAATGGAAGCGCAGAGGACTCAGCACGGCAGTCTCGCGGTCGAGAGCCACGAACCAAGAACCCACTCCACTCGACGCTCCAGACGACCAACGCGACCACCCCGTGCCAGTCAAATTCGCTTGGAGGTACGAACTGGTGCCGTCAAGGGCAATTGCAATGGTGCGTTCAAGGGAAGCTTGTATAGGTGTCGCACAGCGGCAGAGTCCCAGCCCATCAAAGAGATCACCCACAACGCGTTGGCAAATGGCGGCGTGGCGGCAGCCTTCCCCTCCATGGACGCCTCGATCCCGTTCTTTCCCGTCCAGTTGCTTCAACAAGTGCACATTCACATATCTGCGTGGACACTCGCTGCGACGGACGACACTTTTCAAAAGATCGCAGCCCACAACCACCGACTTCGGAACGTTCATAGCAGTACGACTCGGTCTGTTGACACGGTTCGTTGCTTGATGCACGTGGGCCGCAGATGTGTTTGGTGGTCGACAGTCAAAGAGCCCGCCCATCGCGTTGCAGGGGTGCACAAAAAGCATCATCGCAAATGGCATCGAAGCTTTGACAGATGTCGGCCTCATTGCTGTCGCCAAAACAGTCGTTGCCCTCGAGAGTTTGGAGATTGCTTACGCGTGCAAGGTTTCGTGTTCGAGACCATGATGGACGTCTTCTCGGGGATGAAGGAATCGCCATTTGCGTAGGTGACGGACGCCGGCATGCGGACGCTGGCGCTGAATTGCTCCAAGCTCACGAGTCTCAACATCTCGGGGTGTGCCGGCATCGTGGGCGCGGGGCTCGGGGCTGTGAGCGATCACTGTCATGGCATGCAACGTAATGATCCTCTCGGCTCGATGTGGAGCTTCGTGATCTTCGGCACGTGTAGGACTTGTGCTGGCCGATTGCCCCCACTTGGAGGACTGGGTCCTCGTCCGGGCATTTTACAATTTTGAGCACCTCACCCACGTCGATCTGTCGGCATGCGTTCAGGTAGGCTCGAGTTATCTTTCGATGCTCGAACGAAACAAGTGGATCCAACAGATTACGGACGACACGATCAAATCCATGGCGCTACGGTGCCGGCGCTTGGTGGAGCTAGATCTGTCGACGTGCCCCCAGGTGACTTCACGACTCTCGCGTGGTCTGCATGAACCGAGATACGTCTAGTTGACGGACTCGGGCATGGTTTACCTGGCCGAGCATTGTGTACGTCTCGAACGGCTCAACGTATCGTCCAAGAAGGGGCACCTCAACGAGCGAATCACCGACCTGGCGCTGCTGAGCTTCGGCCAACATTGTCCGCGGTTGGAGGTGGGGCAAGCAGTCGCACCACTTGGGGCGAGGGGCGGCAACGATATGTCGGCTTTCACAACATCTCTTGCTAGACGTTGAATGTGTCTGGATGCACATTCATCTCGGACGTCGGGGTCCGTTGGCTGGCAGAAGGATGTCATTCCCTGACCAGCCTCAACCTGAATCACGTATTCAAGCTCACTGACGTGGCCATGCGGGCGCTGGGCACGCACACGCCGCATTTGCAATGCCTACACGTCAACCATGTCAAGAACATTTCGGACGTCGGGCTTCGGTTTCTCTCCGATGGATGCCCCAAGTTGTCTTTGCTACATCTCAAGCAGCTCTATCTGGTCTCGGACGGAGTCAAGAGGGAATTTGGCCTTGAGGGTCTCCAGGCGGTCGCTCTGTCGTGCCCAGGTGTGCATCAAGTGTTCGACTCTATATCCTCGTCTGTCTTCGCCGTGACGGTAGCTTTGACGGACTTGGACGTGTCGGGGTGTTTCCAGATTGTGGAGGTACTGCCCATCATCATGCATGGAGGAGGCTGGCATCCGGCCCTAGCGATCCCTTCAAACCATTGGAGCACACTGCAAGGCCCTGAAGCGCATCAATTTGCGGGGATGCGTGAAAGCCACCCCCACGGGGCTCTCCTCCATTCTACAAGGGTGTCGTGCGCTACAACATATCAACTTTACAGCGATCGAGCAGTGCACCAACGCCGTTGTGCAGGACATTGGTCGCTGGTCGTCGTTCGTTAACGAACTTATTCTTGCCCAGTGCGACCGCATCACGGACAACGGTCTGCGCTACTTGCACAAAATTGCCGACCAGTTGGTCGTCCTCAATCTCTCCGGTGCGTGATCGTTGGGGGGGGTCGACCGCCCAAGTCACGTGGCGGACGTCGCGTAGGTTGCACCCACATCACCGACGCAGGACTGTCAGCATTCGTGTCGTCGTTTCGATCGACGTCGTCGGTGTTGCAGCAACTCATCTTGAACGGGTGTCCCTTGGTGACCGAGGACTTTTTGAATCGGGCGGCGCTCTCGTGCCCCCTCTTGCTTCGTTTGAGCGTTTTGGTACGCCACTTGCTCGCCCTTCACGCCTCGTTCCTCCGTCTTGAAGCCACACTGGATCGCACACCTCTTGTCATAGGGCTGTGGGATTTCGACGAGGGTTCTGTCGTCGCTGAAAACGTCGTGGAAGTATACCGTGTGCCGAGCGACGCCCTACGAAATGGGATATTTTCCAGTCCATCGAGCGAAAGAACGACGGTTTATGGACGAGTCTGGGCAGCTATGTCTTGCCGCCATCAAGATCCAGGTGTGCCGATCTGTTGGGTGCTTGACCATGCCATCGTCTTTCGTCACTATACACCTGACTCACGAGCGACGTACGCTTCAGAACGTGTATCGCCTTCGTCAAGCACGACGCGAGTTCGGACGACAACAAGCAGAAGCCCTGCGGCACCACGTCGTCTGTCGGCTGCAAAGCCAGTGGCGCGGCCGCCGTGCGCGCAAGCGAGCTGCCGTCAAACGGCTCGGCTTGCACAAACGGCATCGAGCTGCCATGGTAATTCAGGTAGGGCCTGGACAGACAGGACTACGTCACAGCCACCGACACAATGCTGGGGACTTGACGACTCGATTCGGCGCAGCGGAGCTTTCGACGATACCGGTCCAAGCAAATTGCACTGCACGAATATGAAGATCTCGTGCTAAAGCGAACGAAAGAGCTTGCGGTGGTCATCCAGCGCCGGTGCGTCCTGATACGTCGAAACAAACACTACCATCCAACGAAACCCAACCCTCCCAAGGTATCGGGCCGTGCGCGGCGCCCGCATCGCGCAAGTCGCAAGGAAAGCCCAGCAACGATGGACGAAGAAGCGCCATGAAGCGGCGACGAAAATGCAGCGTCGGTGGCGGGGAATTGACGGCCGTCGCAAGTTCAAACTCGCCAAAGCCATGCGCGACGCCAACCGTGTTGAAGAAGCTGCGTCTGCCACGCAGCTGCAGGTTCGCTCCCTGGAAAGGTTCTGTCTACATTCATGACGTTGTAGGCATTGATGCGAGGCCGCCAGGCAAGGAAGGTCGCCGCAGCAAGGCGGCAGGCCGAGCTCGAAGAACAGGCCCAACGGCAGCATGCTGCCATTCGGTTGCAGTGCATGTACCGCCAGCGCATCGCTCGACGAAAGTTCCGTCAGCGGCTGAACCACCTTGCTGAATTGCATCGCGCTGCGACCAAAATGCAGTGCGCGTGGCGCGCACGTCAAGGCCGGAGCATCATGGGCGCCCTTCGAATGGTACGTCCATCCCCCACCCTCGGGCAACTCAACGCTAGCTCTCCCAGGTTCCCAGAAAATGAAATCTCGACTAACGGGGCTTTGGAACAGGCGCGGGAGCGGCAGGAGCAGGAAGAAGCCGCAGCGCTGGTCCAACAACGTTGGCGAAAACGACTGGCGTACAGGAACCGCGTTTGGGAAGCGGAAGTCCGCCGAAGTGGCAACGTGGCGCGGTTGGCTGGAGCCCGGCGGCTCCAGCGATGGTGGCGTAACGCATTGGCAATTCAGAGAGCGAGGGTGCGGTGGCTTGCTTTGATGAGCTCAAACTGAAAGACGTTGTAGGCTCAGATGGCCATGCTACTGGAGAGAAAGAAACAAGACGATGCCATGTTGTTTTGGGCCGCGGGGCTGGTGCAGAATCAATTCCGCCGCCATCGTGCACGACATGTCTACGCCCAGCTTCAGCTGGCACATGAGTGCCGATGGAAACAAGTCATCGACACGGACAACGCACATGGGATGGGCTGGGGCGCCCCGTTCTACTACGTACGAGCCTCGACTCCCATCCTGCACATTTCCTCACGCGTGAATGCTGTAGAATCAAATCAATGGGGACGTGCGGTGGCGAATGCCGAGCGAAGTGCTGTCGCTGCAGCCTCAACCGCCGTGCGCTCAATGCGGTACGTCTCCAATCGCGTCGGGCCGACGTACCATTGGATGCCTAGAGGTCGACGCGTCCGCGACGGTCGAGTGCAGTACGTGCAGCGAATACTTTTGCCCTGAGGTACAACCAATCCATCTCTGCCGCTACTTGTTGATTCATCGGTCGAATATACGGTGCCAGTGCTTTGCTCGAGTTCACGACCACGGAAAGCGGCAGCACCACGTTCGTCGCCAATTGTACAACTACTACCACAAGCGTATCGAATATGGCGACGGGGAATTTCCCTCCGTGTGGCCCAGCGAAATCGACCAGGACCGAAAGAGACCGTGGGATTTCATCCATCATGTCCCGCTTGACGGGTACGATGAATTGGTTGCGTGGATCGCGGAGGAAGACGTGCGACTGTACATGCTTCGCCTGGCGCTTCAACAGGCCAAGCCAGCGGATGCGCCTGCGGCAGTGATCGAGGAAGAGGTCGAACCAGTTGTCGAGCAGCCAAAGCCTCGAGCTTTCGACGAGGACTCGAGCGGGAATAAGATCATCTTCAAGCCGTTAGGTACCGTGGATACGTCGCCGGCCGACGACGTTGTGTACCAAGTCAAAGTCGATCTGCCCTCCGACTACTCGGACAAATCCACCAAGAAGACCAAGCGCAAGCGGCGTCCGTTGGCAGCGCAGAAGAAGCTTCTACATGCTTCGCCAGCTACGCAATCGCCAGAGTCCACTGCTCTCGTTCGTTCTGGCGCAGATAGCACAACTTGATCGAACTCGTTACCTCATCCATCCTATCTATCGCATGTTCTCGCGGCGTTTCACTTGTAACTGTCACCGACGGGCATTCCCGACACGATGGCACGAATGGCGCCATATCGCATGAAGATCCCGGACCTGGTCAAAGAGCGCGTGGCGCAGACGCTTGCCATGACGATGTACTTGGTCCAAACGACCGGACCGACGAACTACGTGGTGCGCTCGGCCGTGACGTGTTCCATTCCTTCAATCGATTGTGGATCCACAACCGTAGATCCAAGAGCAGAACTCGGACAGGAAGCATCGGGTGCTCATCGGATCCGTCCAGTCGTGCTCATGCGGAGACAAAGAGATCTGCTGCCACTTGCTCTTTGTCATGCTCAAGGTCGTTCACCCTCGTACGATCCACTCAAGTCCTTCGTAGATACTGCGCGTGCCAGCGTCGAACCCTGTCATTTGGCAGCGATCGCTCATCGACTCGGAGGTAACTCGTGGACGTACCGTGATGTGTGGCTCCATGGTTGTGCATGATGCAATGACGGCTGCGGATAGACCAACATGGTACTCACCGGAGGATACAGTCAAGCGGACGGAGGCGGGGTGCGCAAGCCATTTCTGCGGCGAAAAGTCGACGAAGCGTCGCCAGAAACGGGTTCTGACGGACTTGGGAAGGAGTGCGCGAGGCACACGGTTGTCGAGGGCGAAGTGTGCGCCATTTGTCGCGAGGACATGGTGGAAGCGCAGCAGAACTTGACCTATTGCAAGCGCGGGTGCGGCAACAACTTCCACATCGACTGCAGTACGTGTTTGTCGTTCCTCATGCAAGTTTAGAGGTCGTGGCTCATGAATCCCGCAGTGAAGATCCTGGGCGAGAGCCGCAAGCAGGCCAAGGAGAACATCATTTGTCCGTTGTGCCGCCAAGACTGGGGCGACTCGGCGCTAACAAACCTGAAAAAGGAAGCCGACGTGTCGAATCGCAATCCCCTCGTCCACATTGGCGCGAGCTGCAAGCAATGCCTGACAAAACCAATTCGTTGCCAGCGGTACCGATGTCTCCAGTGCAAACACGTCGACCTGTGCGAGAAGTGCTTCAGTACGACCGACATGAATCGCTGACCTTGTCACGACGATCGTTGGCGTAGAGTCAAATGCCCATGCCAAGCACTCGTTCGTCGTGCGGAAGGCGCACAAGGGAACGTGGTTCCCCGCCCTCCGAACTATTCGGTCGTCACTACTGAGCCCCGAAGCCATCAACGACCTGGAAGGCCGGGAGCTGTCGAATGCTGACTACGACATGCTCATGGAGGTAGGTCCAGTCTCCATGTTGAAATCGACGTGACAAGGAACTTGTAGCTCGACGCAGCCGAGAAATATCCTCTCCAAGACTATCTCATGGCAAACCTGGCGGGGAAGGAGGTTTGAACAAGCCTCCGGACGCGTCCACATGGGTCTGTCGGCGAGATTCGTAGATCACCGATACAAAAGCGTGGGCCCCAGAACGCGTCGATGGTATCACGTGGTGCACAGTGTGTCAGCAGAGCCTTCGCATGGCAGCGTCGATCCGATCGCTGCCGTGCCAGGTAAGGAGGTCAGGAGGCCGACACATTCTCACAACACAAGGCACTAGCACACGTTTCATGCAAGCTGCCTGCTCCAGCATCTCCTAAGCCAAAAGTACACGTGCCCGAACGCTCCGACGTGCGACCACATTCTCTTTCCAGGCCTCCATCACGTCGCGGATGGAAAGAAGTCTGTAGCTCATGCAATGTCGTCTTCTGTCTCGACCGCCACGGTACGATTCTGACTATGTCCTCATCGTCGACGGTGATGATCGGTTCGTAGCCCTCCGCGGGATCTGCCGCCGCGTTGCCAGCGCTCTTTTCTGTCGTGCCGTTGATAAAGCGGTCGGACGGAACGGTCCTGCCACTGGATTGTCCGATGGTAGTGCATTCCCTTGATATGGTTTTCGTTGCGATTGACTTTGTGTTTGTCCGAGCAGTCGAAGAAAGCCCTGGAAAAAGGCAAGGCTGTCAAGAAGCCACATGCGCCTCCACCGTTGCTGCCGATGAACAACCAACTCGAGGTGGATGTGGCGCTGACTGGCCTTCACCAGCCCCATCCGCGGCAAGAACAGCAAAGACCTGGCCAACCCCAACGACCACGAAAATTGCCAACTCATCTCCGCCACCCGTGCCCACAGCCGAACTTGGCGTTGCTCGAGCCGGCGTTTGTGGTGGGCAGCCTAGCCACGACGAGTCACCCTCCGTCGCGGTTGAATTCATTGCCCAAGTTATCACCCGTCCTGTCGCCGACATCGGCGCGTCTGGCTCAAGCTGAAGCCGCGCGGCAACTTGTCCGTACTCAATCCCAAGAGAGAAAACGACAGCAGGCACAAGCGGTGCACGATCGCAAGCAAGCGCTGAATCAACTCACAACCAGCCCGTTGGAAGGACGCATCGTGCTGCCGCCGCTGTGTGTGGGCAGTGGGGGCCATGCATCTAGCAACCAAGACCAGAACTCGATCGTCGACAAAACCATCAAGGCGAAGAAAGCCGAGAGGGTAGCCAGACACGAACAGGTCAAAGCGCGACGGGAGCAGCTGCATGCAATCCCGCACAGTGCCATTGCAGGGTTAAACATGCTGTGATTTGTGTCGCGTTCGAGGACGACAGTGTCTATGCGGGGCGAGCGTTGTTGTTGCTGACAGAGCGACGGCGGTGGGTGTTGATTCTGTGGCGGACGAGGGAGAGCGCGAGGGCGACGGCCATGAGCAACCCAGACACCATCGTCGGGGACAACACGTCCACAAACACAACTTCAAACAGGTCTTCCGACAGCGACGTGATGCGGTGTTCGAACTGGCACGACGCGAACCGACGGCGGTGGTCCCCGCAATGATCGAGGAGGTTGCACAGCGTGCCTTGGATCATGTGGCATGAGAGTTGCATCGACAAATGGGGCGTGTCGCACGTGATGCTACAAAGGCAAAGCGCGTGCGATGAGAAGTCCACGGGCACGACAGAACAACGTTCGCACCGCTGAATGAGGCCCGACTGGGTATCGATCATCGTCACGGGATCGTATTCTAGGCAGACACATCCCGTTTCCATGAGCGACTCGTGCGGCCATCGAGATCTCGCACCTGGCAACACACAAGTCGATTCGTGGTGCAGGCGAGTGCGATCGACGTTTATATCTTGGCCCGCGATGTCGTGGACGAGTTTGCTGTACGTTTGTCCAGAGCCTAGACATCGTCACGGTAGTCCGCCGCTCGTAGTCACGTGTTGGCCTTGGAGGAATGTACCTGGCGGTGAAAATGATACGGACGGCTTGCCCAGCACCGACCCAACGACTCTACGGACGTGGCGCGTCGTCACGATGGAAGCGGCTGGATCGAGGCACGCACCGCGCAATGGCGCCACCGAGCGAGTGGCCGGTCAGGATCACGTTGCGATCGTGGATCGACTTGACGTACTGCAGCAGTTCGTGATAGTACCAATACTCGTGAGTGAGTCCAAACATCGTCGCGAGCTCGTGGTAGAGCTCAATCAACGTCGAAAACGTCACTATGTTGTTGTGAGTTGAAGAGGATAAAACAACGCGGGTCGCACCGTCGGGCCACATACGAATGGTCGGGAAGATGCTGGACAAAATGACAAAGATCACTGGCTCGGCATACATCTTGGCGTCTTCGATAAAGTCCCGAAACCGGCCGACATCCGTGCCACGCACTGAAATCACCGACACATTCAGGTCGTTGGAGTACGCCTGCCAAGATTCCATGTCATCGCGTCGTCGTCCAGGTGGTCCGTTACCTCAAAGAACTCGACTTTCGAACTGTGCGCCGTGTAATTCTCGGGCAATCGAATGTCAAAGCGTGGGTCCTCCGTGTCGCTGCGAAAGACGGTGGACACAAAGTCGCGGAGCTGGTCGTTCTGCGGATTGAAGTAGGCTGCTTGCGACAGAAGTGCGTAGTCGACGAGGCTCAAGTTGAACCACCGGTTGCCACAGCTTGCGTAGTTTGGCGGCCGGGGTTCCATCGGTCGATGGGTGTCGGTGGCGAGGGTCATGTGGAGCCGGACGACGCTGGCGTGGCGAATGTCGAGCACGTGCTTGTCGATTTGAACCGTTGCCATGGATGGGAACAGCTCCTTCTCGCGCTGGAGAAATGTAAGTGCGCCAAATCCAATCATGAACAGCAAATACAGCGCAAAAATCGCAGACGCCGCCAGGACGAACCGAAGGGCCACACGCTGCGTCGCATGCGACGCCATGCCTTTCTGCGTGTCAGCAGACGAAAACAGGGACCGCGATGGCTGGAGAAGCCTGAGGAATGCGCCAAAGAGAAAGAGGCTAATGATCCAGTACGTGTGCTCTTGGCCGACCGCGGCGTACCGGTGGATACCAAACGCCAGCAAGAGGGACACCGGGGCAGCCACGACGACTTTACGGAATGAACTGAGGTAAAACCCCCGCAGTACCAGCAGCGCGAACACGTAAAAGAGTGGCAAGAGCAAGTTGATGATCGTGAGTTCCAGCTGTGCGTGGACAAAGCCCATCTGCGGGTGAATGCACGCGCGCATGAACACAATGGCTTGGCCGGTGAGGAAGGTCACTTTGAGACGTCCAAAGAAGGCCGAGAGCGACCCGTCGTCCGTCGTCGGCGCGTACGAGAGCGGAAAGCTGTGGCAAACAAGCGCGAGGAACCAGACCATCCAGAGAAAGAGAACGACGAGACCAAGCGTCTCCCACCGCAGCTGGGAGAGATCGCTGAGCGACGTCGTTTTCACCTGGCCATGCCGTAGCAGCCACTCAAATGCCCACAGGATCGTGCACCCGTTGAGTGTCGCCAGCGACATCCCGAGCACAATCACTTGACGGGTGTTTGTTTCTACGACGGGAGCAGTCAGGAAGTTGTGGTAGGACGATGGGAAAACGAACGTACGCGCAAGAATGGTGTCCCATGAAGGCAGGATTTCCATGACCACTTGAAGGAACTGGGTCGATGCAATGACAGTCGTGAGGCGGAGAGACCGCTGGAAGACGGGGTACGCTGGAGTCAAGTACCGGATGTAGCTGGATTTGCACAACGTGTTCGTGACCTCTGCCGTATCCATGTTTGTGCAGAAGGACGGAGTAAGGATGAGGCCTATGAGAAGGAGAAGGATCGGAATCGACGACAGCAGGACGACCACTTGCGGAGACGACTCGCGGAGCATGATCCGTCGAATGTACGGGAAGTTGGACAGCGACTGCCACGTGAGAATCCATGTCGTTCGACCAATGCCCAAGATGATGCCAATGACAGCGTAGTGCACGAATAGGACGCACGACGCTTGCAAGTACGGCATCGTGACAATCTCGATCACGTTTTCCCCCACCATCGTTCCAAGGTTGAAGAGAAATCCCCACAGAATGGCCAGAGCCTGCAATCACCGCTGCGTTAAGTGCTTTGTTTCATGTGTTGGGTGTTTACCTGAAGCATGATGTACACGAAGAAGTACTTGACAAATTGATCGGAATACGGCACGTAGTCATAGATCAAGTTGGGCAGGTCGACAGCGATGAGCCGTAGCAGCGTCTCCACCCTTTCCATGTGCGCAACATTGAGCTGGCGCACGAAGTCAATCATAGTGAATAGCCCGAGCGCGGTGAACGTGAGGGATGCAAGCGGTGTCGACCACGACGTCGGCAGAGGTGGCGACGTTGGCGGGTGTGAATTGGGTTGAAGAAGCGTCTACGATTGTATAAAAACGTCAATGCCATGGTGATTGGCTAGAATACGATATTTTCTTCATTTTCCACCAATCCTATCAAGAACATCATTGAGGGATATGAGCACTTACTTGGAAAAATCATACGGGTATGCTGGGCTCTTTGCCATTCAAGTGCACCTTGGAAAGGACTATGTAGTGCTTGCCTCGCCTATATGGGCAGATTGGCTCGATTGCTCTGCCCTCATGACGCCAAAAGGCAGAGCTGAGGAAAATTTGACTTCAGCATGATACTATCATGTAGTATGCAATAGAAAGGTGTCAACATCGATGGCAGTTTTATTGGATAAAATTGTCTCAATGACGAGATTGGATTGGCCATATAAATGAGTTTTCTCGAAGAGTGTGCAACTACTTTGAGCTCCACAGCGTCATGACCTTGCCGCGAGTGATTGCGTCGTTGCAATCCCTGCGGGAACTTCCGCCGTCCAAGGCGGTAAAGTTTCCTTGGAAGGTACGATGCGCAGCGTGGAATATCCTGATGTAGAACACCCATCAGAGCAAGGTCGACGGCTTCGTGTTCCTCTCAAAGCGTGGCACGCCGATTGCATTTGCAAATAGATGCACTCACGTCGCCCTCGAGTTGGACCTGAACGACGCCGACTTCTTCTCGCGCGGAGTCGTTCAGTGCAAAGTGCACGGGGCAATGTTTGACCCAGGTGAGATCGACTCGTCGTGGAAGTCCAGACTCACGATTGGTCGACAGAGTCGGGGTTGTGCCTGCGACCCCCACCTCATTGCAAACTCTTGCATGTACGCTATCTCCAATGACACGTAATATTGTCATGTTACCACGTAGCCACTTCGAAGTATACCACTGGAAGTCCACGGCGACGATGTGCTTCTTACTGAGTGCGATCCGCAGTCATTCCAGCCGAACTCATATGACGAGGCCTATCGGCGCTCCAAACAAGCGCAACTCCAAGCTGCAATAAATGCCGATGCCATGGAAATCCAAGCAGAAATCGAAGCCATCAACGAGCGTTCTCTTCGTCTTCTGGGGATGGCGAAGAAGTCGCCGTCAATGACCTCCATTACAACCAAGCGACACAAATAAGACGTCGTCCTCATCTTACGTCGATGATTTCAAGTGAAGTCGAAGAAAGCGCCAGTCGATGTTGTTTGATCATGTCTGGTTCAATCCAAAAACTTTCATTCCACGAGGCCATGGCCGTCATTGCCGAGATCGAAGAAGCAGTTCTCCATCTAGTGCAACAACTTGTCGTGATCCGCCTTGGTGAAAGGCCCGCCACCGACGCCAGCATCGACGCACGCTTCGTTTCCATGAAGTTCCGTGAGCAGAGGGCCAGAAGATGAAGGATGGTGGTGGGTCGGCTGGGCCTTCGAAGACGCTTCAAATCTTCCTTCGTACGCCCACAGCCCCATTGCTGGGTTGGAAATATAGTAAAACGAGCGCTCGGTGCCTGTCACGGGGTCGACTGTAGTGTTCCAGCCATCCTGGCGCCCGTCCACTTGGTACAGCGCGAGCATGTCTTCCAATTTGGCGTACTCGAATCCCACCCCTTCCACTTCTTCCTTCGCCAGGCCATGCCGTCCACACGCGTACACGACACGAAATCGATTCTCAGGCGATCCATGAATCAAATGCGCGGCGGCGCTGAGGTTCTTCATCAAGTCGCGGTTGGCGGCGATGTGGGCCAACACTTCCTACATAGAGTTGAGGCATCGGAAGCTGCCATACCGAACGTACTGGCGTCGTGCGATACCCGTATTTTCGAATGAGCAAGTCAATCTGTTTGTCTTCGCCAAAGTGCTTGACGCCCGGCGCCAACACGACCAGCGTGCCGCCGTCCGCGATGGCCATGCGTGTGCGGTAGATGGCCTTGTTTCCGAGCCAAGTCGTTTTGAATTCTTCCGCATCCAAATGCACCACAACCTACATACGTCACTGTGAGGCATGCAGCACACATTGCGTTGCGGTGCCTCGTCCAATGGAGCTGGTAGCAAGGTGAAGTTGACGTGTAGAGACAGCGCGGCGGCTTTCGTAAAGCACTCATCGTCCGTCCCGATAAACACTCCCCGCGTCACGACCGACCCATCGTCTCTACAGCACTGCTGACACACGGTATCGAAACACGGGGCTGCCGTACCGTCGACCGATCACTGTTTGGACGTACACGATGGGCAAATGGGTCAGGAAGTGGTCCGACGCGTAATTCAAGATGCGCCGAAGCGGGTTGTTGGCCCGGCCTCGTCAATGGTGAAGTCTCTGGACTAAACGTTTCAAGAAGGGTACCCATCATGCGCTCCATGCCGTAGACGGCACCGATGAAGTGGGAAAAGTTGATGGCATCGCTGCCTCCCGTGCCAACAAACAGGTTTTTGTTGTAGTTGGCCATGCCCATCACCTCATGCGGCACGACTTGCCCGATCGACAAAATCAGATCGTGCCCCCCTTCCCATATCTACCCCGCAGACGAATATTGAAATGACTCTCGAGAGATTACGAAGTTCCAACCAGTTTGTTCAGCTGCGCCGGCCATGGTTCATCTACTTGTCCGTCGCTTGCCTCTCGTACGAGTTCCCGAGGCACTTCGCCAATCTGCACAACGTCGTTCCTGCAGCTGCGCATGACGATTTGTCGAGGAAAGGTGGAGACGAACCGCCAATCGTGGACACGAAAGAGGTTCTGGGGAACGGATCCAAACATCTACGACAGGTAGGTATGTTGAGAACGACCAATTGCTCGAGCAACGACACAATCTGGGCCCAAATATGGGACGTCCGAGTCGAAAACACCACGATTTGGACCCGAATGTGGTTCATGAACAAGACCTTGGAAATCTCGACGGGGGTCATCGGTGCATGTGTTCCCAGAGCTGGCATAATGTCCTTGACGTGTTCTCCAAAGTATTCGTATGCGTGCTGGGTCACAATACCCGACTTCCTGAACGATCAGTGGGTGTTGTAAGCCACGATGGTCGTTGTCGAAACCTCCGTCGTTCCCAATTCACGTACGAATGAAATCGAGTAAAGTCCGGGGGCACGAGCATCACGTTGCGCTTGTCCTTGCCATGTAGTTTGTCCAGCGCCTCCACGAGCGCGTGCTTGAGGCCCTCGTCCGAGATCTCGGTCGTCGGTGACCCGTCGCTGTACAGTAAGACCATCTTGCAAAGTGTCGAAGATCGCAATTCGGTTGTTATCCGGATACGCGATAACCTCAACATCAAATATCCGGACAAACGAAGTCGACGCGACTCTCACCGTCATCGACTACTCGACAAAATGCTGCGCCTCCTCCATCCCCTGCGCCGGGCCGTGAGCCACCCGAAGCCGCGGCGGGCTCACCTGTCGACCATGGTTCCCAAGGAGTACGATCTTATTGTGATTGGAAGTGGACCTTCTGGGCTACAATGTGCTCTTGAATCGGCCAAAATGGGCAAGTCTGTCGCGATTGTTGACAAGTCGGAAGAAATTGGCGGAGTCTGCGTGCATACGGGAACGATTCCGTCCAAGACGTTTCGCGAAGCAGTGCTGCATCTGTCTGGTTTTAACCACCACGGGTTCGACGGTCGCACCCATCGCCATTGTGCTTGGCGTGAACGTCCATGTGTAGATTCTACGGCAAGTCGTATTCTCGGGAGCGCATTACGCTGAGAGACATACTTCACCGCGTGAACGTGGTTGTGTCGTCGGAAATGGACGTGATTCGCGCTCAACTCAAAGCTGCACATGTCCAAATCATTCCAGGGAAAGCGCGATTTGAAAACGCCAACGAAGTGTCGGTGGCAACGGAACCTGTCGGCAGCGAAGCGTACGTGCGCTCGTCGTTGCATTCTCGTTCGTATGACGATCCCTAGCACAATCTACCGCGGCCAAAAGTTTCTGATTGCGTGTGGCACATACCCCGCCCACAGCCCTGTCGTACCAGTCGACGGCGAAGTGATCTTGGATAGCGACGGCATTCTGGACGCCTCCAAAGGCGAATTGCCCAGGTCATGGATTGTAGTCGGCGCCGGTGTCATTGGTACCGTCATGACTTCCCAACGATGTGTGCGCTCTGACTGAGCCATGGCAGGCATGGAGTACGCTTCGATGTTGAACGTCCTGCCCGGTGTGTCCGTCACGGTGGTCGATGGTCGACCAGACGTACGAGCGACTGTGGATGAATCGAGTGATTACTATATTTTTTCTCGCCTAGATTCTCACGTTTTGCGACGACGAGATCGTGAGTGCCCTCAAGATGGAGATGCGGCACAAAGGGGCCCGGTTCCTCCTTGGCGAGACGATTCAATCCGTCAAGGTATGCAGACGTGAGCCGCCAACAGTTTGGTCAAGCGAAGGGTTTACATAGCGTGTGCGGAAAGGAGTCCGAGTGGACTTTGCCAGCGGCAAGTCGAGCTTTGCCGAAGCGCTGCTGTACTGCGTCGGCCGGCAGGTGAGATACAATCTTGGTCACGATGTCGCTCATTCGACCCTGGCAGGCCAACACGGATACACTCAACTTAGAAGGCGTTGGGCTGTCCAAAAACAAGCGAGGGCTGCTGTCTGTGAACGAGCAGTACCAAACGACCCAACCGCACATGTACGACCGCCTTTCCGACTATGGTTGGTCTCCGTGGTCCTGATGAAAGACGACCCGAGTCCAGTTTCGCGGCGGGCGATTGCATTGGCGCGCCGTCGCTGGCGTCGACGAGTTTGGAGCAAGGTCGCTTGGCAGCGTGTGCAATGTGGCGGCACGAAGACCAGGTGTGAAAGAATGACGAACCAAGGCGAGTCGCTCTAACGACGTGCTTTTTTGTCGGCAGCCCACGAGTCAACTGGACAGCGGCAACTACCCGTATGGCATTTACACGATTCCAGAGATCTCGATGGTGGGCAAGACTGAACAGCAGCTGACCAAGGAAGGCCGGAACTATGCTGTACGTGCATCTCGTTCGTTCACGTGGGCTCGGCCGTCGCTGACGACATACCACGAATTAGGTTGGTGTGGCCAAGTACTCGGAGCTGGCCAAGGGCATGATGGCGGGTGGCCAGAAAGGCGCGCTAAAGCTGCTCTTTGACCCGGATTCACACAGTGTACGGATCCATCCGACGACGCGCGATCGCATACGCTTGTAGGTGCTTGGTGTCCACGCGATCGGACAAGGCGCGACGGAGATTATCCACATCGGACAAGGTATTCTACCTCCATCGTCGCAGAGACATTCCTCACACTGGGATGCAGTCGCGATGGCGATGAACTGCAAACTCACATACTTTCGGGATGCCGTGTTCAACTACCCGACTCTGGCCGAGGTAACCCACCGACGCCCTGCCGGCCTCACGCAACGTGGCTATGCAGGCGTATCGTGTCGCAGCGTTGAATGGGCTGGGTCGGTTGACCAAGGAGCTGTAGAACCGATGCATGGTGCCGACCACAAATTTGAGTCGAGCGCACGTTTCCACCTCGCGCGAAAACGCTCCTCGTTGAGGGGGTGGATGGGATGGATGTGTCGCGCTTGTGGCATGGCCGGTGTAGTTAGTGGAGACAGCCGCCGCAGCGCGCGGTCGTGGGCATCTCGACGGCGACATCGCCGCGGCGCAGGAGTCTCGACACGAGATCTGCGGTGGTGGAAAGACAGAGGGGGGCGGTGGTGGTCAGTTTGATTGCTGGCAAGTTGACCTATCACTCGCTTCCGTACGACTGTCGCGCCGAGCCGCCGCCTCCCGTGTGCAACGGGACGGCTCGTGCACAAGTGGATGTTGTGTGTAGCGTTTGGAATTGGCGAGGATCTCGGCGGCGTGCTGACGTGTGGCTGCCCGACCAACGACGCAAGCGCCCGATCGTGCTGGCGACTTTACTCGGGCGATGCTGGATCAGTCGGTTGTAGAATCCCCGTGGAGACGACGGGCGCCACCCATCCGTCGTGTATGCACGCACGAGAGGGGCAGCGCCATCAAGCAGTTTGCCACCAGTAGCGCCAGTACCGCATGGCGGGCGGTCGGTTGCCTTCCGCCGATGCCTCTCTTCCTCTGAACGCAAGACGTTCCCCCTCGACCGCTCCAGCTCTGTCGCAGGCGTGACCTGCGCAGTTGCAAGGGTACCCGAGATTCGAAAAACCGTCTGACGCGATCGATCGCATGGCGACTTGACGCAGCCACGCCGTGCGCGCTCGCCACATCGTCGACGCGACCGACCCATTCTGACGTAAACACGGCGTTCCGGTCAGTTTCCGATTTCCATGGCTCCGCCGACCAAGAAGCACCGGACAAAGGTCGTCCCGCACTCGGAGTTTGTGTGCCAATACACGTCCAAGCGGTGCGACCGCGCCAGGTCGGCCAAGAAGAACGGACAGCTCCATCGACTATGCGAGTACCACCGCAGCAAAGCCAATCGATTCCAGAAAGCGTACAAGCTCCGCGTGACCAAGTCGGCGGCGCTCGCGTCGCATGACTCCATCGTGCCACCCACCACGCCGCCGTTCGATGTGGTGGATCCCATCCCGTTCGCCACGGACGCCACATCCCTCTCCGCCTGGAACGCAGAAGACTTTGCCATGCTCTGCGACGCCATCATCACGTCGGTCTAGCTCGTCCCCTTTCCTCTATTTAACTGCGTTAATTGCACCGACTTGATTCCATCCTACCCACGTCGTACCTCCCCCCTATTCCGATTTCACCCCACATGAAACCAGAGCAGACTCCTCCATGGCACGTCATGTTTCTGGATGATTTGTCCGTAGATCACGTGGGTTTCCTGTTCGCTGACCAAGAGGTCGCCATGCTGCACGGATTTACTTCTTTCCGAGGCGAAACCCAATCGTGACGCCTAACAACGCTGCCGCAGCCACGGCAAAGTATTTGACCGAGTCGGCAAGTGGAGATGCCATCGCGCCGCGTTTGGATACGTCACTTGGAAGGGGAGGAGAGGAGTCGGATGGCACCGCCCTTTGCACTCGCGACTTGCTCAGCAGCTACACAAACCATAATTCTCAGCCAAAGTGGTAGCATTGAGGATGCTGTACCTGGTACGAGTAATAATGCGCGCCACGTTCGCCCAAGTCTTCCGTGAGCACCAAGTAGATCGGGACGGACTTGAGGGCAGGGCTGACGCGACCTTTGTCGAAGATCGCGTCCAAGAACCACGTCTTCTTCGTGAAAAAGTCCAAGTTCTTCGGTGCCATGCCACCCGTGATGTAAAAGCCGCCGCGGGGGAGGTACTTGAGCGCGGCGTTGCCAGCTTCTCGGCCGTATCCCCTAATCGTGAACGTCGTATGAATGACGGTGCCACAGGGCGATGCTTCACGCACTTGACGAAGATCTCCATCGCTTGGCCGCACAGCTCGTCCGACCCGGCGTTCTTGCCAACGACTCCCCCACGCAACGATTCGGAGGCGACAAACTCCTTGTGGATGGCGCTGTTGACTTTGTCCGGAAACTTCTCGGCCAAATATTCGTAAATGCTGGCGAGACCGTTGCCACTGATAATGCGCTCGGTGGACAGTCGCTTGTTCGGTCCAAACTGGGTAAACGTGGTCAGGCTGTGGAACGTTCTTGATGTATTGTTTACCTTGTTGCGCAACTTATTGTAAATTTCGACTTCGATGTCCGTGGTGGGGGAGTAGTCGCAGTGTCCGCCTTCCGTAGGATAGCAGTCGTACGAGTCTCCCGACGGAGTCAAGAAACATTCGCCGAGGCCCGTGCCAGCGCCGATGGTGGCAATCGGCGCGTCTGCTTCACGCGGCACGTCGTTCAAGGCGAGGAATTCGTGCTCTCGCAACGTCAAGAGACCGTATCCCATTGCAACGAAATCGTTGATCAGCTTGACGTTCGGGATCCCGAGTTCGCGCTGCAAGTTGTCGCCGTTGATGGACCAGCCGAACGCAATATTCGTAAACCTGCACACCGTCAGCCCTTCCATTCACAACATCAAACACGACGTACACGACAGCGTTGTTCATGACGGGTCCCGCACAAGCCAAGACACAACACACGGGGGGGGCATCGATGTCGGCTTCTTTCAGGAACAAGTGCATCACTTCGACAAAGCTCCCATGATTCTCATTGAGGTACTTCTGGTTGAACACGAGCTCGCCAGGGGCAATTTTGCCTGCAAAAGAAGCACGTCAAGTCAAGGATCTCGATGGAATGCCATGTACCTTTCAGGTGAACGCTGTCGTGCGGCACACGCCACAACGTGAGACGGGTGTTGGTGCCGCCGCAGTCCCCGGACACAATTAGGTCATATCTACACATCACGTGGATGAGAAAATGCAGACGGACCGTCGGATGCGGCGAAGTACTCGTTAGGCGCAGGCGCCATGTCACTTTCCCGAGTTACTTCGATTCTGGCCCTACAACGTTGCCACCCTGCGCTTTGATTGGCTCAAATTTGGATACCGATACATCTGCCGTTCGGATATCCGGATAAGCCAACACATTCGGCCTCGACAAAGAATCGACGTGACACTGCCGGGGCGACCACGCATACGAGACTGCTGCCTCCTGGTCGTGAAGAGATCCAACGTTTGATGTGATACCAGAGGGGCTGATGCAAATCTGCCCTTGAGGCAGCACAGATGCAAGAGGTTTCGACGACCTATTGTCCCTGTAATAGATGGCATTTCGTTATCAAGCCAAAGCCGAATGGACACGCACTACGACATATCGGACCTGTGCGTGCGCGCAAGGGTCTCCAACGTACATGGCTTCGGCAAGAACGACTCCCGCCGGCTTCTGCATGCGCTCTTGGTGCGGCGGCCGCCTTCCTGTTGGACTCTCTGGCACGCGGCGACCTTTATGATTGGCTCTGGACGTGGTCGTGTGTGAAGACGAGATTGAATGCTCGCTGGACAATAAAATGTATATTGTACGAAGTGTATACAAATATCTAGTCAGAATAAAACATTGGAATTTCACGACGCACCAATGAAACACAAGATTTTGCCGCGCCAAGAAAAGCGAGGGAAAGTCGCGGCCGCTGGGCGAGGAATGGTCATTTCGGATTTTGTTGCGAGGAAGCATGTACGTCGTCAAACGAGACGGTCGCCAAGAAGAGGTCAAGTTCGACAAGATCACAGGCCGCATCAGCAAACTGTGCTACGGCCTCGACGCGAAGTACGTAAACCCAATCCTGATCGCACAGAAGGTTGTCGCCGGCGTTTACGCGGGTGTAACAACGTCTGAATTGGACGAGTTGGCGGCAGAAACCGCTGCGTACCAGTCGACCCAGCATCCCGACTTTTCCAAACTCGCTGCCCGCATCTCGATCTCCAACTTGCACAAGAACACCAATAAACTGTTCTCGGACAACATTGAGCTGTTCTATAACAACACACACGCCAAGACGGGCGCCCCTGCGGCATTGATCGCCGACGATGTGTACAAGATCATCATGGACAATAAGGAAGTGCTGAACAGTGCCATCATTACCGACCGTGACTTCGAGTACGACTACTTTGGCTTCAAGACTCTCGAAAAGTCGTACCTGCTCCGCGTAAACGACAAGGTGTGTGAACGACCCCAACACATGATTATGCGTGTGGCTGTGGGCATCCACAAAGATGACATCGAGTCCGTCTTGACCACCTACGAGTACATGTCCCAATTGTACTTTACCCACGCAACACCCACGTTGTTCAATGCCGGCACGCCGCGCCCTCAACTCTCGTCGTGCTTTTTGCTGTCCATGAAAGACGACTCGATTGAAGGCATTTACGACACATTGAAAAACTGCGCGTGCATTTCCAAGTGGGCTGGTGGAATCGGTGTGAACATCCACAACATCCGCGCCACGAACAGCTACATTCGAGGAACGAACGGGTCTTCGAACGGGATCATTCCCATGCTTCGCGTGTTCAACGACACGGCCCGTTATGTCGACCAAGGCGGTGGAAAGCGAAAGGGGTCGTTTGCCATGTACTTGGAACCTTGGCACGCTGACATTTTTGGTACGACTCCCCATCCACGTTGTTCTTAACATTTTGCATTAGAATTCTTGGAGCTCAAGAAAAACCACGGCAACGAGCTCCACCGCGCCCGCGACTTGTTCTATGCCATGTGGATCCCGGACTTGTTCATGAAGCGCGTCGAATCCAACGGCGAATGGAGTTTGTTCTGCCCCAATGAAGCCCCTGGCTTGCACGAGTGCTGGGGCTCCGAGTTCGACGCTCTCTTCACGAAATACGAGAAGGAAGGGCGTGCTCGAAAAACCATCAAGGCGCAGCAACTGTGGTTTGCCATCTTGGAATCGCAAGTAGAAACAGGCACCCCGTACATGTTGTACAAGGATGCGTGCAACGGCAAGTCCAACCAACAGAACCTCGGCACGATCAAATCGAGCAACTTGTGCTGCGAAATCATCGAGTACACGAGCAAAGACGAAGTCGCCGTGTGCAACTTGGCATCCATCGCGCTCTCCAAGTTTGTTGAGAACGGCGTGTTCGACTTCCAACACTTGCACAAGATCGCCAAGGTGGTCACGACCAACTTGAACAAGGTCATCGACGTCAACTACTACCCCATCGAAGAAGCGCGCAACAGCAACATGCGGCACCGCCCGATCGGCATTGGTGTCCAAGGGCTGGCGGATGCGTTTATCCTCATGGGATTCGCGTTCGAGTCGCCCCAAGCCAAGCTGTTGAACCAACAGATCTTTGAGACGATCTACCACGCCGCCATGGAAACTTCCATGGAACTCGCAAAAGCGCAAGGGCCTTACGAAACGTACCACGGGTCGCCCGTAAGCAAGGGGCTGTTCCAGTACGATATGTGGAATGTTACCCCGTCGCCGCTGTGGGATTGGGCCACGTTGAAAGCTCAAGTCGCTCAGCACGGCATCAGGAATTCGTTGCTGTTGGCCCCGATGCCTACCGCGTCGACCGCCCAGATCCTTGGCAACAACGAGTCCATCGAGCCCTTCACGAGCAACATGTACAGCCGCCGTGTCTTGGCAGGTGAATTCACGATTGTGAACAAGTACTTGATGAAGGAGCTCATTTCGCTCGGCCTGTGGAACGCGGACGTCCGCAACCAGATCTTGCACGACCGCGGCAGTGTGCAGAACGTCGCGTCGATCCCTGCGCATGTGAAGGAAGTGTACAAGACTGTGTGGGAAATCAAGCAAAAGGTCGTGCTCGACCTGGCTGCCGACCGAGGCGCATTCATCTGCCAAAGCCAATCCATGAACGTGCACATCGCAGACCCAAGCATCAGCAAGCTCACGTCGATGCACTTTTACGCGTGGAAGCGTGGGCTCAAGACCGGCATGTATTACCTCCGCTCACGCCCGAAAGCCGATGCGATCCAGTTCACGGTGGACCAAGCGGCCATCAAGAAGCAACAAGCTGCCAACGCCGGCAAAGCCCCCAAGCCAGTCGAGCCGGAAGAGGAAGAATGCCTGTCATGTGGAGCGTAGACGTGGTGGTGGTCGGGTGCGCGAAGTTTTGCCCGAGTGAATTATATATGCAATTTTACATCCGACCTCGTAGTCGACCACATGATGGCGTGCAACCTTGATATAAGAACAATTTGAATTGAGCCAATCACAGTTGAGATCCGAGTGCCACACATCACATTCGGTTGAAGCAACAGAGCGGCGAGCGGCGGCGATGGGGGAACGCAAGGTCTTGAACAAATACTTCCCACCCGACTTTGATCCGAGGCTCATTCCTCGACGAAAGATCCCAAAGAACAAACAGATCGAAGTGCGAATGATGCTGCCGTTCTCGATTCAGTGCAATACGTGCGGCGAGTTCATGTACCAGGGCAAGAAATTCAACTCGCGCAAGGAAGATGTGCTGGACGAAGACTACTTTGGCGTGAAGATCTTCCGGTTTTACATTCGATGCTCGATGTGCTCGAGTGAGATCACGTTCAAGACAGATCCGAAGAACGGGGACTACGCCACCGAGCACGGTTGCAAACGAAACTTCGAACAGTGGCGGGAGCGGGAAGCAGACGAGGCAGCGATTCTCAAGGAGCGCGAAGAAGAGGAGAAAGGGGACTCGATGAAAGCGTTGGAAAACCGAACGTTGGACTCGAAACGAGAAATGGACATTATCGACGCTTTGGACGAAATCAAAGCGATCAACCAGCGTCATGCCAAGGTCGACACCGACGCGATCTTGACGAAGTTCAAGCAAGTCGACGACCCTGTTCCCTCCGACGACATATTGGACGAAGCCGCGATTCAGGCGCAGATGGAAACGTTCCGAAAACGAAAGCTTGAACAACCCTCCGAGACGACCAAGGCGATCGCCAAACAGCCAAAGGCCAGTGCCGGGGGCTTGGCTTCGGATGACAAAGCCAAGGCACTTGCACCGAAACCTTCCATCAAAATCAAAGCAAAGGCGGTGACGAGCAAGAAAGCACCAAGCAAGTCGACTCCCAACGTTCCAGCTGCCCCTGCTCCTGTGGTCGCATTGGTTGGGGCATATAGTGATAGTAGCAGCGACTCGTCATAAAAACCACGACGCGATCGAGTTACTCTTTGTTAGCCTTGGTACGGCGTCACCATGTTCTTCGCAAACGCTTTGAGCGCCGGCACGCCACGGACTTCTTCGTTGAGCAATGGCATCTCGACAACGTGGAAGTCTTCGTACAGGTCGTAAATTTGATCCAAGTATTTTTGCTGCATCTTTTGGCGGGCCGAGCAATTGCTGCACTTCGAGTCTGGGTACATGACAGTGGTAAGACAAGATGGCGGCGTGTGGGTCGCACCTTCTTCAGGATACAGCACTTGGTTCACTACCACGTTGTGCACGTCGATGTCGTATTTGGTCAGCTCCTGTACCAACCGCTCCGTCTCGTACAAAGACAAGAACTCGGGGATGCACACGCAGACGAACGTGGTGCGGTCGGCATCTTTGAATTGCGCGTTCACCTACGAGATGGTCAAGACAGTGTGTCAAGCTGTTGGATGTACCTTTTGGATCACTTCTCGCGTTTGCACGAGCTTTCCCACGAGCGCTTCCTCCGACGGTAACGCCCCGCCAAGCATGGCAGACACTTGACCAAACATACCCGAGAACTGGTTCTTGAGCGCCATGATCTTGCCAAACGCTTTGTCTAATGCTGTCGGGAAGCTCAGCAAGCGCAAGGTGTGCCCCGTCGGCGCCGTGTCGAACACAATCACGTCGTAGTCCATCGCTTGGACTTGCTTCATCAATTCCGCGAAACTCATCGCTTCATCAATGCCAGGAATCGAGTTGGTCAAGTCCTTCATGAATGACTGCATGCCAGATTCATCCGACACTCCGTCAGCGCTCTCTTCCATCTAGTACATCATGCATTCGATCAAGTTCCGTCGACCAAAGACGCAACACGGATGTGTACCTCAATGGAAGGATCGATTTCCATCACAAAAAGGTTGGTAAAGCCGTTCACTAGGGTGGGCTCTCGCGTGAAGCGTTGACTGAACGCATCGCTCAAGTTGTGCGCAGGATCGGTGGACACTATCAACACCTTCTCGCGGTGCGAGGCAAGCGTGACCCCCAAGCAGCACGACGTTGTCGTCTTCCCAACACCACCCTTACCGCCGACAAAGATCCAGCGAAGGGACTTTTGGTCCACCAAGTTTTGCAACGTGCCTTCAGGAATTCCGTTGTCCGCGCTCATCGTTGCTCAATGATGTCCGAATTGGGCGGCCAAAAATTGATTTTATCGGAGTGGAAAACCTGCTGTCGTCCGGATAAACACGGTTTTAATCGTACTCCTAGAGGACGGCCGTACGGTATATCACTCAACCCACAATGGTACGAAATCGTCACTCCGATGTATTATTACTCAATGTTCAGCACGAAGCACCAGTCTAGGCGTTCGTGGCAGGCTTTTTTGCCTTCGGCTTCTTGCTGCGAGGCTTCTTGGAGGTGCCAGACTTCTTGACCGGCTTTTTCGCCTTCGGCTTCTTGGTGCGAGGCTTCTTGGGGGTTCCAGACTTCTTCACCTTGCCGGATTTTTTCGCCTTCGGCTTGTTACCGCGACGAGGTTTCTTGGTTCGAGGCTTCTTGTTGCGCCGGGGTTTCTTGGTTCGAGGTTTCTTGTTGCGCCGGGGTTTCTTATTCGACGCGGGAGTTGCAGCAGCAGTAGGGGCTACCGTGGTTGTTGCCTCTTGCAAAGCTCTTTCGACGGAGATTTCAGTCAGCACACGGCTACCAAATTTCAGCGCCGCGAGATTGAGCTTATCCAAGGTAGTGTCGAGTTGTTCAGGAGAATTTTGATCATTTGCCGTCACACGAAGTGCTCGGGCTTCCGTGAAGGTTGACGTCAAGGCGCACAAGGCCGTCGCCGCGATCGCCACCAGAGTAAACTTCATCACTCTTCCTTCCGACTGGAGAATGCCAAAATGGTGATGGTATGCAATGATCACAAAATTTGTCGTTCAATTGTAAAAATGACTTTTGTAGTTTTATTAACATCTAGGAAACTCTATATGATAAAATAAACTAAACATCGAGCGACATCATTGGCGAAAATATGGATATGGCCGGGCCGAGTTGATGTGCGAGCGACCAACGCCTTGCACCATGCCGCCGCTTGCGCTTCACGACAATTCGACGACAGTTATCCTAGTTCGGCCATATTTGGCCATAGTTGTCGCGTCCATGACGACCAACACCGTGCCCATCATGTTTTCGTTCGAATGGTTGTTGCGGCAGTCTCAGGTGTGGCCGCGAATGGCGCAATGAATGCACGATCTCATTTGTGTGGTATCGAGTACAGTCGAAAGCTCGGTTCACTGATATCAAGCATTTACCATGGCCTACGCCCATGTACACATGAGTACTTTCACGCCTACATGCTGGAAATGCGATCACGGCGAACGTCGTCAGGGCAACAAGACGATATCTCCGCAGTCCCTTTGAAAAACAAGTTCTAGTAACGAGCTGGTGGAATTGCCGATCTGGTCTTGTCATGGGGTCGTCAAGAATCCCCACATCCGATCGCATGCGCGATGGAAGCGGCGGCAGCGCAGCATCATGACTAGTCGAAGGATCTTAGGGATGTGCTAGGATTGTGAATGCCAGTATATGCATTCTCCAAGATATCGAATGTCAGAGGTTTTCTGCGGATAAGCGGGGTGGAACTTTCGTTCAATTTGCGCTTCCCCGGTTGGGAAGAGAGAAAAGTGCGTCGCGGGGAAGACCGCGGCAACGAGCTGGGCGCAAGGAGAAAAGATGGATGCAGGGCGAAAGAAGTTTGTGGTGAAACCCTACCGCAACAATATCGGCATGGACGTGACCAAGGCCAAGGAGACGTGGCAGTCCCTACGCAGTGCGATCAAAGAAATCCACAGCCACAATGCGTCCCTGTTGTCGTTCGAAGAGCTCTACCGGTACGCTACATGTGCTTGCATGATGAAGATTGCCCTCTGTCGTTCATTGCTGAGTGATCTTATCGGAATGCAACAGGAGCTCGTATAACATGGTGTTGCACAAACACGGAGATATGCTCTACTCGGGGGTTGTCGAGTGCGTCACAGACCACTTGCTTTGTATGAGCGATCGCGTCATCAAAGCAACGGACGACTCGTTGATGATAGAGCTCTTGGCAGCATGGACGGACCACACATTGACGATGTCCATGATTCGGGACATCTTGATGTACATGGACCGCAACTACGCGTTGCCGAAGCGCAAGTTGCTGATCTACGACATCGGCCTGGTGGTGTTTCGAGACACAATTCCGCGACATCCCAAAGTGAAAGATCGATTGAAATGGTTGTTGCTACAAAACATTGACCTTGAACGCAACGGCGAGTTGATCGACCGTGGCCTGATGAAGGACACCCTGGCAATGCTTGTCGACTTGGGCGTGCGGTCGAACAACGTGTACGAAGAAGATTTTGAAAACGACTTTCTCCGCACGACCACTGCATTTTACAACGCGGAAGCACAGCGGCTGCTCGATCAAAACACATGCCCCGACTTCATGGAGAAAGCGGAGCGTCGACTGGCAGAGGAACACGCCCGCGTCATGCAGTACTTGAATTCATCGACCGAGCCCAAACTGAAAGCGATCGTTGAGCGGGAGCTGATCGCCAACCACGCCAAGGCGCTGGTGGAGATGGAAGGGTCCGGGTGCATTGCAATGTTTCGCGATGACAAAGTGATCGGTAAGGTGTTTTCCCCGCCATCGAATCTGTACCTGATAAACTACCGCAGACTTACGCCGCATGTACGTTCTATTCAAACGAGTTCCTTTGACTCTGGAGGACATTGGGGCAGCCGTGACCAACTACATCAAAACGACTGGCCTCGACCTGGTTCAAGCTCAGCTCAACCTCCAACTAACGAATACGAGCTCCACGGAATCGGCGATTCAATTTGTGACGGCTTTGCTGGCCCTGCAAGACAAGTTCAATGTGTTTCTCGCGTCGTGCTGGGCAGATGACAAGGCATTTTACAAATGCATTCAACGGGGGTAGGTTGCACCCGACGATTTTGACGTGCATTCGACCTGCGAACGTCCCTAGGTTTGAAGCGTTCATGAACATTTCGCGGCTGTGCGCGTACACGTTGGCACAGTATGTAGACGACATGCTCAAGTCCAAATCGCGCTTCGAAGCCGACTTAGAGCGCCAGGCCGACAAAGTGGTCGGTCTGTTTCGGTACCTGAGCGACAAGGACGTGTTTGAAGAGTTTTACAAGCGATTCTTGTCCAAGCGATTGCTCCACGCCAAGGGGGCGACGGACGAAGGCGAAAAAATGGTGATTGCCAAGCTTAAAGCCGAGTGCGGGTACCAGTTTACGTCCAAGTTGGAAGGGATGTTTAAGGACATGGCGATGACGAAAGACCTCATGGACGGCTTTAAGAAACTCAACTCGGTCCTGAGCGTGCAGGTGCTCACGATGGGGTATTGGCCCACAGAAACGACGACCGCGACGAGCTCCTTGCCCGAGAGCGTGCGCAGTTGGGTCCAACGCTTTGAAGCATTCTACTTTGGACGACACAACGGCCGCAAGCTCTCGTGGCTGCACAACATGGGGTCCGCAGACATCAAGGCTACGTTTGGATATGGTATGTTGACGTTATGTGGTGCTGTGGGCTGAACGGGCTGTAGGAGACGCGACCGTGCGCCACGAGCTCACCGTGACGACGTATCAAATGTGCATTTTGATGCTGTTCAATGACCAAACGACTTGGGTCTTCCGCGAGATTGAAGAAAAGACCGGCATCAACCGTGCCGACCTCAAGCGACACCTGATTTCGCTGTGCACGCCCAAGTTTCGCATTGTGCTCAAGTCGTCCAAGGGGAAAACGATCGAAGACGACGACGAATTTACTATCAACCACGAGTACAAGTCGAAGCTACACAAAGTGCGCATTCCGCTTGTGTCGATAAAAGACAGTCCAGCCAGCGGCGCCGACCAAACGATGGCGATTCCGCCCACGGAACTTCCGCCTACTGTCGAAGAGGACCGGAAACACTTGGTCGAAGCGGCAATCGTGCGCATCATGAAGACGCGCAAGAGCATGCAGCACAACAACTTGATGACAGAAGTGACCCGTCAGCTCACGACGAGGTTCGTGCCAACGCCGCAAATGATCAAGCGCCGCATCGAAAGTTTGATTGAACGCGAGTACTTGACAAGAAACCAGTCGGACCGACGGCTTTATAACTACGTAGCGTAATGGACGCGACATTCGACGTGAACTTGATGGGCTGATACGGAATGGATGAATTGGACGCGAAAGCCTACATGTCCAACGCAACAGCGAGGCTGCTGATAAAGCATACGATGACTTGCGGCGCCCAAATGAGTCGCTCCCACTTGCTCGGCGTGATGACGTTCAGCACGGACGACACACCCATCAGCCCCACGACCATCCAGATCGCCCACGACGAGTGGAGGCTTGGCAACGCCACGTCGGCCCGAGCCAGCACCACAAGAGCCATCGTGACAAACAGGGGAATTTGGACGAGGAGGCTCACGACACGGATCGTTGTCGGCACTCGGCCAGGGTATTTGCCACCCATGCAGTACTCGCCCCATGGAGCGCCGCACCCGACGCAGAAGAAGAAGACGCAGACAATAGCCATCAGAACTGTGAAGATAATGGCGGCCACGACGCTGACGGTGGACGCCATGGGTTGGTGTCTGCGCAATTTGAATTATGCGCCTTCGTCGTTGACCTTTCCTGTTTTTACCTACATTTTTGTTGTCGAACGCAGGAGTGTGTGTGGTTTTGGACACCTAGGCCTGAAGTTTCCACCAATCATAATGGAGAAAGCATCATAAAGAAATTTGATTGGGTGTTGACCACACAGGTCCCACTCAACTTCCTGCCCTTTGAGTCTCAAAATGGATATTTGAGCTCGCTTGATTCCAGCACAAACCCACGACGTGGCCGAGTTGGTTCGATCCCATCGGTTTGCTGCGACGACGCTAGTGATGAAAAACTCCGCCATGGCTGTAGCCACAGCCCAAAGAACACAGTTCGAGTTAAAAGTGGGAATGGCACGGAGGCTGGGTCAAGATGACTATGGCCATCAAAAGCGAGCAGAGGAACTTGCACCAACAAACACAAAAACGTAGGCGTACGCCGGGTAGTTGGCCGTGGAAACGCCGTCCCATGCAATAGTCCCTCCACGGAGCCCGAGTGATGAGGCTGGAAGAGAGCCACCACGACAATGACCAGCGAACAGGTGACCGCGGCAACGGTGCAGTCGGCTGACATGTTGAAAGTTTGCGATGGTTTGGAATGCGCATTCGAACGCGCCAGTCCCAGCATGTATTTTGGAGCTGCAGAAAGGAGTCGGTATGGCATGGCTAGTACATGGACAAGTTGGACAAGTCGTCCGTTGCCTCCATTTCGCAACGAGAGCGTCTCGAATGGATGGAGCGCTAGAAGAGTGTCCAGTGCACCATGACCTGACTCCGTTTGCCTTTGGGCAGTACAAGAAGCCCCCCTTCTGAATCCTATTGACGCATGCATCCGACGGAATGACAGTGAAACCCCCAAGTCAACCAAAGTAGTCTTCAATGGCGACCAAAGCCGAGGGGGGGAAGTCCCCTTTCCACAACAACAAGAACGTGAGGGACGACTTTATGATAGGGACAACACTTTCAGGACCGCCTGAACGGCCGCGTGGGGCGCGGGGTCCGAGACATTCAGGCGAAACAGCCACGGTATGTCGGCGACAACGAGCGTTCCACTGCCATCACAAAGGGGATTGCAAGGATCGCAACTCGTGAGTGAGCCAGACGGCGACGTGGCCAGGCTTGCGTCGGCCGAGTACAACACGGCGACGCAAAACCCGTCCAGCTACCCGACGATAGCGATTCAAGTGAGAGCTCATAGAGCCAAACGAGTAGACATTCGAACGTACGTTTAGAAGGTTGAGAGCAATGAACGAGGGGTCGGCGACATCTGGACTGGTGGTGTTCAAGCGTTGATGTCGACATCGTTACGAGCGTACCTGTGTCCATCGGCTCGTCTAGTGGTTGCAGTGTGAGTTGCCTTTGATCGAGACGTGCTCGAGCGGTCAAATGCTGATGAAACGTGTGGGTGACGTGCGGCAGCCATGGCGCTAACGCAACGGATGCGGCGTTGGGAGGGGTCCATTGAAATGCAGGTTCGGGCGAGTCAATGTGATATATCCAGACGGCGCGAACGCTTCGAGATAGGTTGGCATCGGATAGAGCTTGTGCAATCTTATGGTTGAGATCGTTTGCGAGGCACGGAATGATGCAGGTCGATTGGAATGCCATCAGGTCATTGTGGGTTTCGTGAGAGGACTGGCCGAGTAAGGCAGTTGTGAGGGTGTACGCATGGGCCATCGATTCAGCTTCGTCGTTGGCTTGCTGTACGATAGACATGATGATGGCACTGTGACGATCGAAACATTCGTGAAGGATAAAACTGCCGACCTTATGAACGATGCAGAGTTATACACGTCGACTGGTAAAGTCCTGCACGTACCAACTTCACGGCGGCCAGGTTCGTGGATGACGTGCTTACCAAGCAACAGAGCACGGGAACCAACGGTGACCTCGCGACGACGATGGAGTACACGTCGTACTGAAGCACCGACAAGCTCTGCCTATGTATGGAATCGACGAGTTCGGAAGGATGGACTTCCACGAGACCTACCCATGCGAGAACTGTTGCAACGTGGCCGCGAGCGAGCCGAGGTGGGGGGCACTGATGGGCGTGTCTTGCGGAGCCCAGTTGACCAGCACATGGCCCGTGTCAGTCGTCACGACGCACATCGCGACCTCTTCCATGGCGCTTGCAATCTTCAATGTCGAAACCGACGACATTCATTGGCGGAATCCATCAGCGAATTGCAGGCGAGGATTTTGTCTGGCAGGACGCAACGCCATCGCGATGCAGCGGCGATTGGGTGCACTCGAGAAGCTCAAGGCACTCGTGGATGCCGGTACATTGAGTCCAAAGGACGCTACCCATCGCGCTCTTCAGATGCTGGAGGCCACGCCTCAGCCAGTGCGTCTGCAGGAGCCTCGACTTGTAAAAATCTCCCAAGAATTGCTCAACATGGCTCAGAACGGCTCCGACGTCGCAGGAGGTGCTCTCTCTACCTCCTCGGCACTCCATGGCCGATTGAGTCGACTAATCCAAGAAGATTCGCGTGTGAAGGATCAATTCAAAGGGTCGGACACAGTGCAACTACCTCGCACACTCGAGGCGTCCAAGGCTGCGGCGCTCCGGAAAATGAATAAGCTGCAACGTCTCAAGGAATCCATCGACAATGCATCCATGCCTCCATTAGATGCCGCGCGCCGTGCCATGCAAACGGTGCACAGTGCTCCCGATGATATCATCCTCGACCCTCGAGCGTTGCAACTTGTCCACGACATTATCCACAGCGTCGACAACCAACGCATCAAGGACTCGATGCACCAGCAGCTCGAAGCCCTCATCTCGTCCTCCGCGCCGCCTTCATCCCAACCAACCGGGCAATCCCTCGATACTTCGTCGCCGCACCCGACGCCAGACATTCTCAGCGACACGGTCCACTTTGCCAAGTTGTACACCGCTTTTGACCGTAGCCACCACCAAGTCGCGTTTGACTTGCTCGCACAAATCACGCCAGCCATGTGGAAACGAACCCCTCACGCGAACCGGAGCCAGCTCGTCAAAGTCTCGAGCATGGGGATAGCATCCGTGAACGACTCCGTGGCGGCGCAACAATATTTACAGTTTGTCCTCGGAGTGTTTCGAGCCAAGGGATTACCGCTGAACTGGATCAACCAACCCACAGCCTTTACCGCCATCGCTGCAGCCTCTTTGCAAGTCCACGACTCGTCGACTCTGCTCATCTTGTACAAGTCGCAGATCCGTGAGTTCAAGAGGTCGCGGTCGTACTTTGCCCGACGAAACAGCAGTGTGTTGTCGGCGAAACCCCACCCGACTCACAACAATCCGCACGTATCTGTTCAAGCCCCGACGTCGGCGCTGTTTGCAGCTGTCGTTGATACGCTCGGCGCCCTGCACCGTCAGACAGCGCTGCCCGAGATCATCCAGACGTTCCCAGGGCCGATTGCTCAGCCAGGACTGCTGGCATTGCTGAGAGTGCTGACGCTGCCCACATCCGCCCCTCACGTGGTCCAGCTGAGCGCTTCATTTCCCCTGCAGTCGTTCGTTGAATGCCAGTACCAAGCGCCGCTGCTCCGCGCCATGCTCAAAGTTGACCTCGTCGTAGAAGCCCTCGACGCATTGCTCGAAATGCACACGTTGGGGCGGTCTTCCATGGCTAAGCGGATTCCATCGAGTGTGGAGACTGACATCTTGGTCGAGTTGTACAAGTTGAAGGCGTTCGACAGATTCCATTCGGCCTACGAAGAGCTGTGGGCGAGGGGGTACCAAGTCGGTGTCATGGAGTTCCGCGCCCTCAGCACTGTCGTGCCCCCTGCCGTGCTGCAATCGATGCTCGGGCGGAAGGAGTACCGCCACTGTCTCCACGAAGTCCAACGGCGCGCCAGCCGGCAAGCCCAACGAACGCACGAAGTCGATATCGCCACCGGCCTCGATCTCCGCGCGGCACCAGAGTCTATGTGTGCCGCGATGCTGACGCTCCATCTCAAAGCCCTCGCGCATCCCGAGGATGTCATTGTGTTTGTGTCGGCCGTCAACCAACCCGTGGTCGAAGCTGCATTGGCAGCCGAAGGGTTGTCTTTTGTGGCTCGGCATCATCACCAGCTCGTTGTGCCGGCTCAATCCATCCTACAGGTAGCCAGCCAAGCATGGAATTCCTTCACGTGACAATGTATTCTCGTGTAGTTCATGCAACGAGCTGAAAAACAACGCGTGCGAGACGCCGTGCTCAAGTTTTTGTCCTTACGAGGTCTCGCTGTGTACACGATCTTGCTAGGAGGGGCCGCCATCGCGACGACGACGCCTTAAAACTCGACGCCTTCAATGTACTTGAGCGTGTTGCGGTAGTGGGTCTCCACGTCTGCTCGCTCTGGCCCTGGCTCCATGTTCTCCAAGTGTTCTTTCACGAGCGCAATCAGCCCCACCACGTATTGCTTGGTCACCTGCATCTTCCTCGTGAGCTCGTCCACCGACATTTTGACATGCCTAACCTCGGGGGTGCGACCGATAAAGTAATAGAGATACTACCGCAACAACAGACTTGGGTGAGTTGACATGAAACCCCAACACTACCTCATCCAGGATGTCGACAAAGAGCCCGACTTTGGCGCCAGAGCTCATGCCAGTGCTGTCGGCGAGTTTTAGAGCCCGCTGCAAGCACTCGAGCACGCGCACGCCATGTCCCACAGGTTGTGCCTGACCCCATCTATTAGCGACGACGGATATGTGCACACAAAGCACCTCGGTTGATTTTCGCCAAAACAAGTGCGCGCACGTCGCGACCATCGCTGTTTGTTCCTTTTTCTTGAGCAACTTGGCGACGTACTGCGCGAGTTTCGTCGCGAGTGTGTCGTAGTTGGGTTGCGTGGCGTCTCGACACTGACTCAGAGCACCCAGCATGAGCTCCAACGCCGCGACCTGCTGCGCTGATTGACTCAGCTGGTCTTCGTACACGACAAACGCTTGCGTGAAAAACTCGTACGCGATTGCCTCCAATCGGCATTGGTCGGCTGTCAGTGCGCATTGCAAGAAGACGTTCAGCGACAGCGTTGATTCCACCAATGGACCGGACGCCAACGCGGTGGCCATTTCGTGCACAAATTGCAAAATCGCACGGGTGCTCACGTCCAACGTGTTGCCGTCGCTCTAGAGTCCCAAAAAGTATTCGTCAACCGCATCGACGGGTGGAATGGCTACCTCTGCTTGAAACACACGGCGAGTCAACTGTAGACTCAAAAACACCAACGGCACGAGTGTGAATCGTATGCGCTCGAGGCCACCTTGGCCCAGCAGCCGCCTCGCATGACTGTACATCTGTGCAATACACTCACGTGTGTACGCTTAAAACAACAACATCCGCTGTACCTGGAATTGCGTCGATGGATTCGGATGCACCAGGAGGTGGGTCAGCTTGGCTAGTGCATGCTGTTCTCGCTCGACTGTGCTCTACTTACGTGGTTTATGCCATGCGACAAAAGGATTCTGTACGTACCTTGGATGGCAGAGACAGATCAGTCGGGTTTGGTTCGTCTCGAATGAGTGGCAGCAATAGGGTAAACAATTTTTCCACTGTCGCGGGTTCCATAATGGTCTGGTGGCGCTTGATGACACTCATACAAAAGCGGTACGCAACTTTCTTGCGATTGGATACAGGAAGCCATTGCAACGTTGCGACCACACTCGCTTCCAGCGATGAATCTTCCAGCGCAGCTGCCCCAAGGCCCTCCAGCGGCACAAGTGCCAGTCGTTCGCCCGCCTCGACGACGGCCTCCGAACGCCTGCATGTACGCCATTCAACTATGCCCATACGAATGCATCGAATCAGTACATTCTGACGCGAACGAGAAATGCCGTGACGGAGGCGGCGGTGCGAGAAATGTACGGCAGCGGGTTGCGAAAACACGCGAGGGCAAAATCCATCACGCCCCCGTACAGGAGCATGAGCGATGCACTCCACATGTCACTTTCCCTCTGGGTAATCGCACTTTCCACGCATCGAAACAACGTGTCAAATAGTTGGTCTTGTGGTGGGAACACTAGCAATCGACGAGTGAGAGAGACTGGCGCGGGACTGCGTCGCATCGATAGAAATGCGTACCGTGGTTCGGGGTCGCATGATGGTATTTGGCCAGGCGCTGCAGCAGTGCCACGACGGGTACGCTCACGTCGACCTGTGGATGCAGGCTCCCCATGGCGTTGAGAAACAAGTGAATTGAGTCCAAGTGAAACTCGTCCGGAAACACCTGCCGCGCACTACTTGAGCACTGGGTTGAACTTGGGACTCAACGATACCTGGATGAGGCAGTCGGTCAAGTATTCCTGCGCGATCTTGTCCTTAGCTTTGACAACAATCTCCAATATCTTGGGCAGAAGCGAGGTTGTGTACAGCGATGCCGTGATGTCGTCCCGCTGGCTCAACCGCACGAGGCTCGTCCCGACGAGGATCTTGAGCTCCTGCCGCTCTTTCTCGCGCTGTTTCTTGTCCTTAATGCTCAATTGGTGCTGCATGCGAATCCACAGCTGGATCGTTTCGTCCCAGTTTTGCAGAAGAAATGACATTGCGTCCAGGACGTCCACGCCCGAGTTCACATGTTCCTTCACCGACACGACGAGGTAGTGACGGAGGAAAAGACCGCGTTGCGCATGCTGCACACCCTTGACCATTTCGACCAGGTCCTTAAGGATGTCCTTCGTGACGGACGCATCGTGTCGCATGAACACGGTCCCGACCGTGACGAGCAAATACAGACGGGGGACGATGTTGCCGCTCTGTTGCACTTGTTCGTACAATGTGCGCATATTTACCGACGGCCGAAGTGTATCCACGTACCCCGATAGTTCTCGCAGTTCTTCCACGACCAGCATGTATAACTCGTAGTAGTTTTTCGGGGACAAGAGGGACGTGCGCAATTCACGCAGAAAGTCCGCGGCATGTTTGAGGACCACCGCGATGTCTGCTGCCGTCGTTCCAGCGTCCATCGCCCGTTTCATGTAGAAAGCGCTTTGACGAACGCTTGTGGAAGCTTCCGAGAGCAGCGCTTCTTGCTCCTCGTCGCGCTGCATGATCCTCGAGTGCGTGTGTTGCAACGTGCGACGACTGTCGAATCCTCTGCGGAAATCCAAACGAGAGAACCGGATAAAGATATCCGGAAAACTCAAACTACGGATGTATAGGTTCGCCGTTAATGATGCGCGGTTGCGGCCGACAGCATGGACTCCAAGCGACTCTTCTCCATGAGGTAGGCCTTCTCGAGGGCGGCGCGATCGGCGTTGTATGTGGTCTCAAGGTTTAGTAGGTCTTGGGTGATAGACTGTACCTACATTTTCCACCCTTTTCTCTTCATATCCGTTCCAAGGCATAAACGAACGTACGTCGGTTGTAGCTGTGCTGGGCCGGATCGTGCTGTCCTTGGACAACACCAAGTTGTCTTCTGCATTTACACCCGGCCCTCCTGCGGACAAATTGCTTCCCATTCGAAAGTACTTCATAAACGACGGTTCGCTGCTCTTCTTCGAGAGCTCCCTTGCAGCATCAACAGATAGCACCTCCATGGACCCTTTTGCACATCATGGATGGGCAAGAAAAGGAAGAGACAATAACTGCGTACCTCGATGCACGACGGTGCCGTACAGCTCCGTCGTGTCGCGAGATCCAGGCCGGAGTCCTTTGCCAGTGTTCCCTCGAAATACCATGGTCCCGTACCCAGCGTCGTCGTGACCACTTCCAGAGTGAACAATCGTATTGTTCACATTCACCATCGTGCCGCTGCCTTCCGCATATGTAACTTGCACATCGTTCATGTCGACGGGGCCTTCGCGGTCTTGACTCAGCGCTTCCAGGTTGCGGTCGACAAGTTCTTGCAGTGCCGGCAATCCTCCCGGAAGCATGTTGTCGAGTCTGTCGACGTCTTTCTTCAGGAACGGGTGCTACATGCCGCTCACAGTACGTTCATTTCCCTCCATCCCACGACAGACAGTCAGACTTACAGCCAGCAGCGCCTCTGCCGTGGGCCGCTGGGCCGCGTCCTTTTTCAAACACGCTGCGAGAAACTCGGAGAAATGGGGCGAAAACCTCGCTGGGTCAGCTAATGTGGGCGGTGGGCGGCTCGGGATCATGAATATTGCCTGAATGCCGACAAAAATGAGGCGAACTGGGCCTTTACACGGGTGTGCGTACCCGCATGGGATGCATGTTGCATAGCGGTGGGTCGCCTTGAGCCATTTCAATGGCTGTGATGCCAAGTGACCAGATATCAGCCTGGACACGATGCCGTGGGAATGGAAGCGTGGAACCGAGGTGTCATTACCTTGCCATCGTACTGCGTCTCCTGAATGACCTCCGGCGCCATCCAGAAAGGAGTACCGATGACTGTCTTTCGCTTGTTGATCGTGTTGGTCAATTGGGCAGACACGCCAAAGTCGGCTATGTTAACGTCAGGGGTGATGACCAGGAATCCGACTAGCCCCACCTAGCTTAGCGAGGCCGGACGACGACAGCAGCACGTTGCCGGCTTTGATATCCTGAACGCAAGATTGTGCATGAAGAACGAATTTGGTGACTGATGCGACTCATGGCGTACTCGGTGGATGTTATTTTGTGCATGGAGATATGTGAGACCCTTGACAACGTTGGCACACACGGCGGCAACCTCTTTCTCGGTGAGGCATGTTTGCGACACCCGCATCATGTCGGCGACCGACCCCGCTTCGCAAAATTCCATTTCGATCTGCGACGCAGAACATGAGACGCTTTGATGGCGATGAGCATACCCATAAGTTGTTCTCGTAGAGGATGCTGCCGTAGTATTGCACAATGAACGGCGAGCTGCACTTCTCCAGGATGCGGATCTCCTTGGTCAGATCCATCATCTCTTTGTCATCGCTTTCGACCGGTACAACTTTCAACGCGACGACGCGGGCCGTGCCTCGATTCAATGCCTTGTACACTTTACCATACGAACCTTCGCCCAGTTGCTGCAGCACCTCGAACTCGTCCTGCGGCACCTTGGTCTGTGAGATCGAGTCGCTCATCCTTCGCCTTGATGATAGCTATTTTCGGCTTCCACCTCACTGCCGTTTCGAATGCGTTGAAAGCTCCTGTCCGAATAACGACTCCGGATACCGTGGCTGTCAAAGATCGCTCGGTTCACCTCTTTTGCAGTGTCACAAGTCTCGAGCGATGCATGCGTTGGCCCCCGTGGTTCTCCGCCCCCCCAGCGCGAAGTCACGTGGCTGTGTGTTGCCCACTCTGTATCCATCGAGCCTTGCATGAAGATGTTGTTCACCTTCATATAATGCGCATCTGCCAACACCCTAGTTTGACATGGTGGAATTGTTTGTTGGTTGAAGAATCTCTGCTTCAGGAGAGTGGTGTGGGTGCTGGGCTAACGTGGATGTGATGTAACACAGTTGGTGGAAAGTTTTCGAGGCAGCAGTTGAACAGCATGGTCTGCATCGTCGTCACTTGAGAATGCACTAGGTCTGCATAGTGTTCGCCCATGAAGTATGCTTGGGCATTTCGCCCATGAAGCATGCTTGGGCATATGCTCGTTGTGCCCCGTCCCCGCGACGCTACGCCAAGTCGCATCCCATCGTGCCCCATCCGAGTTGGCTGTCGTTGGCCATACTATTGTTTTTAATAAAATACAACATCTTTGAATTTAATACAAAAGCCAGCACGAATATATACATATTTCTGAATTTTTTTATAGATGTGTCATTCCCAGTCGTCTCTCTCGGCTTTTGATTGGCCCATCGCCTGACGTCATAAGTGCCCCAAACCACTTGAGTGCTCTCAAAATTTTCCCTCACTTGGAGAGGTCATGCTTCGACTCGTGCAGCCATCCATCCACGCCGTTCACCGCGCCCGATGGGCGTTCACGAAGCGAGCTCCTTTCTCCAGCCTCCCTGAAGGAGTGACGAGACTTGTCATGCCCGCCCTCTCGCCCACGATGGAATCCGGTACGATTGCTGCTTGGCTGAAGAAGGAAGGTGAACTCGCGACGGCCGGCGACATTCTGTGCCAAGTCGAAACGGACAAAGCCGTTGTCGACTACGAAATGCAAGATGACGCAGTACTCGCCAAGATAATTGTCCAGCCTGGCACATCCGTAGACGTCGGTACTCTCTTGGCGTTCACAGTTGACGACGAAGAAACTTATAGCGCGCTTGCTGCCAGCGGCGACCTCGCCAAGTTGACTGCAGACTCCGCTGTGGCCACTTCTTCCTCCTCCAATCCTGCCGTTGAAGCGTCCCCTGCTGCTGCCGCACCCAGCACGGCACACGCTCCTGGCCACCGCGTGCCTCGCATCCAATTCCTTGGCAAACGGGCTCTTCTCCATGCCAGCAACCATGCTGACAGCGTGAAGGCGGCTGTTGCTCAGGCAGCAGCCCCTGTCGCTTCGACCGTGGTCAGTTCCACCCAAGCTGTGCCAGCAGCGACTGCAGTTCCTTCTGATGGTGATTTCATCGACCTACCTCTTTCTAACATGCGCAAGATCATCGCGAAACGCCTGACGGCGTCCAAGGTCACAGTTCCCCACGCCTATGCGTCCATCGACTGCGAGATTGATTCGATTATGAAGCTTCGCGCGCGACTGAAGAAGCAGCACGGCGTCGCGGTCTCCTTGAATGACTTTTTGCTCAAGGCCGTTGCGTCCGCGCTGCGTGACGTTCCCGAGGCGAACTGCGGGTGGGACGCTGCCACCAACACGATTGTACCGAATTCGTCTGTGGATATCTCTGTTGCTGTCGCCACCGACACCGGCCTCATCACGCCCATCGTGCCCAAAGTCCAAGCTCTCGGCTTGACCTCTATCAACTCCACGTTCAAGGAACTCGTTGCGCGTGCGCGTGCCAACAAGCTCAAGCCGGAGGAATTCCAAGGCGGTAGCTTCACTGTGTCCAACTTGGGCGGGTTCGGCATCGATAACTTTACCGCTGTCATCAACCCTCCTCAAGCGTGCATCATGGCCGTCGGACGTGGTCGTGCCGAGTTTGTCGTGCCCGACGACGAAACGTTGCCACCGCGCAAGGTCACTCTGCTGAACGTGACTGTTTCGTCCGACCGACGTGTCGTCGACGACGTCATTGCAGGGCAGTTCCTGCAAGCTTTCAAAAAGTACATGGAAGAGCCTGACTTGATGCTGCTCTGAGGGAGGAATCCTTCTGCGTCGTCATAAAACAGTAAATAGAGTGGTGTCAAAACGGATGACAACGTTGGCATGTCGTTGGAAAAATGACAAATATTCCTTGTATTTTCATCCAGCGTTTCTCGGTTTCAAGCGGCATTTCGCAATCCGGACCGTTTCACGAGCGACCATGACGGACAATTTGGCGTGGCGCCTCGTGTCCGAGAAGGACATCGACACGCTGGCGGCCATTCACGACGCGGTCGCGTGCCGACAAATTTTCTACGACATCTTCTCCTTCCAAGGCATGGCGTCGACGACAGGCGCGCCATTGGACTTGCTCCTCGACATGTATCTGTACCTGTATGTGTTTTGCAAAGAGCGCGAGCTAACCCCACTCAAGACGTCCGTGGTGCTGGCGATCATGCACCGAGTGATCCAGCGTGACTTGTTCTTGCAGTCATCGGACCATGGAAAGCAGGCGCCGTGGACGCTCCCCGACAGCTTCGACCACTTCCAGTCCCTTCTCCTCCAACACAGTGTCGAAAGACCACCCATCAGCACAGGCATATTCAACGCAGCCGATGTCGCGTCCACTGTTGAATATGTCACACACAGCTATTACCGCCATTTCAACCTTTACCAAGTGATTTTCATTCCCCAAACGCACGTTTCGATTGTCCAGGTATGTCCAATTGGATACAGTTGGCACGCGAATGACTAGAAACGATCGTCGATGTCTAGGTTGCGTGCATGGACATCGCAAAACCCAGGCCCATGACACCCCTTCAGCATGCAATATTGCTTCGTACGAAGGAGCCGACACCCCCGGCAACCCAAGACCGCTCTGAAGAAGCTGTAGTAGAAACATAAATGAATGTCAATCTGCATTAAACAAACAATGTGGAATATTTGCCGTGAATCAACTGAACGAGCTTGTCGTAGTTCTTCAAATCTACCATCACATTGTCAGGAGTGGTGGTGCACGATGCTCTGTGCGGCGTACCAAAGTCGTCACCGAAGCTTGTACACTTGAATTCCTTCAGAGATCCGTCTGGTTGGACAGATCCAATAACCTCGACATATTTACTATACGTGGTCATAAGCATCGCACCAACCCTGGAAACAAACATAGTGGCATGCTACCTCGAGTAATCGGCTCCAGGTTGGGGATGCACGGTCACAAATCCATTGTCGGAGGTCTTCAGCACAGCTTGCGAGCCTGTCCAGCTTTCGATGCTGCCGACCAAGGACACGGTGTGACCGACGAATTGCGCGAGGATGGCCTTGTTCACACGAGGGGCAGGTGCATTCTCGCTCATTGCTTGGCCTGTTGTGGTATGGAGGGAACAAACCGATTTCTTTTCCGGATTTCCGGATAAACAGAAAGCGCGGGAACTCGATTTACATTTGAATACTAGACACGGGTAAGATGTTTCGAAGTCCTCCGGCACATGCATGAGCTACGACTCGATGGTCATGACGTCCTACAGCACAAGTTGACTTGAGTTAGATACAACAATGTGAATGAGATGTGAAGGAGGGTCATACCGCGCCACCGACGTCGAATTGGGCAATGTCTGCGTTCGCAAAATCTTGCTTGAGCGTGATGTCATGTTCGGACTTCGTCAGCTTGATCTTGCACTGAAGCAACTTGAGCAATTGATCAAAGAGACCGCGCTGAACGACGTAGTCGCCCAGGTTCGTCTTGAGCGTCTTTTGCTGCTTGCGCAGCTCTTTGGTCAGTGACTCTTGCTGGTTCACTTTATTCTTGTACAGCTCTTGAAACGTGCGGAAGTCACGGAGCAACTTGCCATTGCCTTTCTCGAACTCTTCCTCTTGCGTGACTTTGTCAAGTTTGGCGTTTTCAATTTGGATTTGGCAGTTGAGAAAGTGGTATTGACTCTCTTCACGCAGGCAATCATCTTGAAACGCCGTGCACTCTTGCTCAAGCTTGATGCGCTCCGTTTCGAGACCGACTGCCGTATTGTCGTACTGAGCCTTCTTCTCCAAGTACGTTTGCTCCATCTCTTGGTACTTTTGGCGCACTGCACGCAAGTCCTTGATCTGCGGCGCGAGTTGATTCTTTCGCTCTTTCAGCGTTTGGTTGATGTCGGTCACGATGCGCGATATCTCCTCGAGTGTTTCCCCCTTGAATGCATTCACTTGCGCGTTGCGCTCGGAGATCTCGTTTAACTTTCCCTGCGTATCCATGTACCCGACGACACCCTTCGATGCTTCAATCTCCTTGAGAAGCCCGTCCAAGTCCGTGTCGCGCGACTTGAGCACTTGCTCCGTGCGATGTAACACAACGCTCTCAGCCGTAATTTCGGCCAACTCAGCCTTCATTTTCTTGTACTGGTTCGTCTTGTTGCGGAGTGTGTTGGCGTACTGCTTGAACTCTTCGCGCTTCATGAACTTGGGCCCGGACACCTCTGCTATCTTGGCCTCCTGCTCTTCCAGCTGACGCTGCAAAGTCTGTTTCTCTTGTTTTGCCGCAGCCAGCTCGTCCAACTTGTCGTTGAGTTTTTTGGTTTGAAGGTTTGCATGCTGCCGAAAGATCGCGAGCTTGTCGTCCCCGGCAGCACGTTGTGCCTCGTTCAGTTGTTCAGTCAAGTTCTGCAGGGAACGCATTAGACACAACAGCGGTGTGGCTCATGCAATTATGCACCTGGATCGTCGCCTTGAGGTTTTGAATTTCATCCTCCATGTCGGCAATATCGCTTTCAGACTTGGCGGGTTCGTTGAGTGCGGCTTCAAGATGGTGCAGCTTCTCTTGCTGGATGCGAAACTCGGCGGGGAACTTGTTGACGAGGATATCGCGGTGGCGGTCGACTTGTGTCTGGAGTTGATCGAAGAGCTGATCCGGCTGCATGTCGGTGTTGATGGCAGCGCGCATCTCATTCAACCGGTGCTCGTACTCGCGACTTCGCTTCTCCGCTATGTTGAGCCCCATCATTTGATCACGCTTGCGCTCAGACAGCTTCGCCTGTTCCTCTTGTTCCTTTCGCAGAGAACTAGTCGCTTCCAATATATCCTTGAAGCCCGACTACACATGCACAATAATGTCATGACGTCCACGTGATCGGCCGTACCTCGTTCGCGGTCTTCTTCTTCAGGTGCATGATCTTCTCGCTTAGCTGATGCGATTCCTCCTCGAGCTGCGTAATCTCCTTGCGCAACTCCCCCGGCCTGATCTTGCTCGTGCGGAGCTGCTCCACTTGTTTGTGCGACACTTTGAATTCGTTCTGTAGAGCTTTGTAGTGCTCATGCATCGTGTTCAGCGCTACAATCCGCAAGGTCAACCCTTTGCAAACTTGTGAACGTACAGTCGTTGCCGAGAAACTCTTGGGGAACCTGCAAAGGCGCGAGAAAGCGACCGAGATACGCCCTCTTCTTGTGCGCGCTAAAGTTTTTCAGCGCCCAGTACAGGATGGGGTACACGACGTAGCGCTCGCCATGCGTGAGTCCTTCCCGGAACGACTCAATGTCGGGTGGCAGCTGGTACTTGAGCAACTGGAGCGTCTCCATGTACCGGTACGTGCGCTGTTCGTCCAGTTCGTCGCGGATGTCGATTTTGTGTCGCGAATCCATCTCGGCAAACACTTCATTGAGCACTTGCAGGAGCTCAAAGTTGGATTTCTCATCAAACGCAACCTAGTCACGCGTGGGTTGGTCAAGGCCACGACGTCTCGGAAAGGCGTGTATCGCTGCTGTCGTTCGTACCAATGTGAAGTTATGGTTGAACGGCTCTTTGTTGAGCTTCTCCACGATGAGCTGGACCTCGCTCATGATGCCGCTTCTTTCGTTCGTAGTCGGCTGTGGGGTGACCTTTGGCGCGTTTCGAACCTCCCATACGATCTTCCAAAATATAAATTCTTACAGGTCCCACCATCGCGATATGCCTCTCGAAGACAACGTCATTGTAGAGGTCCCCCAGAGAACCGAGTGGGCGCTTGCGGGGGTAGTACTTTGGCCTTTGACGGCGGAGGGGGATGCGAAGTGGGATAGTTCGCATCAGATGCTCGATCCCCCGCTCGTGCTACTGTCGAGCTGAGTCGGGGGAGTTCGCCGCCGAGATGCCAACAACGCCATTAGCACACTCTGCATAGACAGACTCGACGAAGTATGCATCGACGATCTATCGACACACCTCGTATCAATGACGCCACAAGGGTTGCACGACGACGACGATTAGAACAACGGGAAGCTCCCGACCCACTCCGTTGTCACACAAGGTAATTCTACACCCACAGAGCTGCAGGGACACACTGCGTGACGATGAATCAGACGCTTGGACGGGGGCGGCGCGAAGCTCTCGATGCGAAGACGCTGGCTGACAAAGAACTCGCGTAAACCATGCGTCATCTCTAACATGAATGCTGTGGTGATCGAAGCAGTCGAACGAATGCGGCCCCTCCTTTTTCGAACATATTGAGGCTCGTTCTGCGACCCTTCAAGATCCAAGCATCATCAAGGCTGAAGGGCAATCAAACGTGACATGGACAATCTTCGTAAACGACTTTCTAACTTTCCATCGGACCCGTCTTCGCTTCATTGCCGATGAGCTCTCTCACTTGCGCATTCCGTGTTTGGTTCCATGTGGCCGTCCATCTCGGCCGTGCAGCTGTGCCTGACGGGGCTCGCCGACCTCTCAATGGTGCCAGCGATCGCCGTGATCCAGCAAAACCGCCGGCACTTTGAGCTGTTTGTGGCGTCCATGCACATCGTGGTGTCGCTCGCGCACAACATCAGCCAGTCCTTCGACGTCCCGCTCTTCCTGTCCGTCGACGACTGGCACAACATGTCGGACGTGCTATGGATTGCGTACTTCCTTCTCCTCTGCATCCATGTACTTGGACTCAAAGACATCCAACACACCATGATCTTGCGCTACGTCGCGTTCTCGTGTGCGTGGATGGCCAAAACCAAGGACACGTGGACCTCAAACAAGTACTCGGCGGTGCTTGTGGGAGTTGCCATCGCGCTTGTCATCCTTGTGCGCCTCCTATTTCGCGCGGCACTTTTGCCCATTAACTTGAAACTCGCAGGGTACGCAGCCGGTGCGGGTGCCGTCTCAATGGCTCTGTTTGCTTCCCCACGAGTTGTCCACATTGGCGAAGTTCCGTTCTTTACCGTCGTCGTACCTACCTTCCACCTGGCCTTGGGCGCCATGTTCTACTTTGGGTGGAAGTGCGTTGCCGCAGTTGCCCCCGCCAAGATCTGGGACGACAGCTTGACTGTCCACTTCATATGAGTAATTCAAAAACCTTTCGACTCCATTGCGACACTTCATGAAAGGGACATGATGCCAAACATGGTGAACCATGGAGTTCAACGTGTTTGGGTCCAACATGAAGCACAAAGAGTGACACGGAATAAATAGAGTCAAGATTTGGGGCTTATAAATACTAAAGCCATGCACTTAGTGCACAGCCACCGGCGAGGGCCTTGCCTCGATGTCGACTTTGGTCAGGTTGGCGTTGGAGTCCTGAAGATGTTGGACACTTGTCACGTCGACGTTTGGGCACAAGAGCACGGTGAGTTGCTCGAGTGCTTGGAAGTTGCCCAGCGCATTGAGGTCCAGTGCAAGTCGCGTACAGCCAGTCAAGTCCAACGACGTCAGTCCTTTCGGCATTGCTTCAAATACGTCGCGAGTCAAGTTCGAGTGGCCCTTCAGCGACAGTTCTTTCAGCATCGGCGCCGATCGCAAGAGAGGCTCAAGGCCCTCGTTGGACAATGGCGAGCGCGACCCAAACGGATTGCTGCACGACAGATCCAGATATTCCAAGGACAACGATCGAGTGGAGCCGAATGCAGTAGTGAGGTGCAAGTTGACGTCTTTGACAAAACGACCGCTGCCACCCAAGGTGAGAGTTTGCAATTGTGGGCAACACGATGTAGCACTCGTCAGCACATCCACAGGACTGATGTGAGGGCACCCCTTGAGGTTCAGCACAGTGAGCTTGGGGGCTTCCTGAACGAGAGTAACAATGTCGGCAGTCGTTAACTGACGGCAACGGCTGAGCGACAAGACACGGAGTTGGGCTGCACAGTTTTTCAAAGCCGATGTGTTGGCAATGTACGCGCAATTGTCAGCGTAGACTTCAACAAGCGAGGACGAGTTCAACTCGGCAAAAGCAGTCAAAGCCACGTGGGAAAAGTGCTTACTACCAGCCACATTCAGGACTTCGAGATGTTTTGTGTGGCACGCAAAGTGAATCCATGCTTCTTCCGACGCTGTCGACTTAATGCAAGTCAGTCTGCGGATGTGTTTCGCAAATGGAACCAGTTGCTTCAGCATCGTCGACGTCGCTTCTGTCAGTGTAACATGCGTCCAATAAGTGGACGCAGCATGGAGACCATCGCGAAGAGTGTTTGACGTGCGGGCCATTGAGAGGGCGTCGTCAAGGGGTAGAAATAACAACATAGCATTGAGCATCTCTTCCTGGAGGGCCGGCAGAGGTGATGACGAGCGCGTCGCAGTCATCGCGTCCATGTGGAAGTTGTTCAATGATTTGGCGTCATGGCTTCACCGTTGTGTCGTTCCGAACGATTCCGAATGTCGCCGCCGAGAGTATTGTACGGATAAATACGAACTCCAACGAATTCAAATTGGTTCCAATACAATTCCGCAAACCCATCGATTCGATACATTTTAATCACCAATTTCATTCTAGTATTCGATTGTTGACGTTTCCGGATGTGATGAGTAAATCTCAGGTGAAACTTTCCCGGTAATTTGATTGGCCAACGGGAATGACTCGATGCTATACTTATTTCTGATTGGTGAATCAAACTGCCCAATTAAACGCAAGCATTGTGTCGACACACCTAGATGCACACTAGCCAATCACGTCGTGGCAGAATCAACACGTTCGGCCTGTCATGGCGCAGTCCCTTCGTCGCATCAGTCTCAAGATCGTGTGAATTGCCCCCACGAAACCCTTCTATCTCCAGCGAGGCAAACGAGCTTCATGGTAAGAAGTTCTATGACTGAAGTTGTGTCACTCGCGGCTTTGATCGAGATTGATGCGACATGGAATCGCACAAATGGGCACCTAGACAATCTAGACCAAGACCTGTTGCGGGCTATCTGTCCTGTTTGATCGATCGTGCTGGCAGAGGTTGTAGTAGCACGTATTAGAGGCCTACGTCCTTTCTACACTTGTTGGCCTTGGTCCACTTTAATGAGCGGGTCGAGTGTTCACGCCATACAAGATTCTGGCGTTTCAGAGGCTTGGGTGTCATCGGAGGCTTGCAAATATTTTGACGGGACTAAAACCAGCAAGAAACGAAATATTTCTCCATCTCTGGATATTTGGAATGTTGGACCCTACAGCCTCGGCAAGGTAGGGTTAACAGAAAATATGGTCAAACGGGTAATTATATGCAACTACCTTTCTTCTACCTGTTACTTTACCTTACCCGACGCGCAGGTGTCTATACTTACCCTTACCTAACCGTCCATTTTACCTAACCGTCCATTTAGGTAAAAGGTAATCGGAAAAACCATGGACTCCTTCCTACCTTTACCAACACCATTGTACAGTACGTATCTCAACCATACACCATGTACATCAAGAGAAAACATGACAGTTTATTACATCTCGAGTTCGGCCTCAACCAACGCGTCCGAAAACGTTCGTTCAGTATCTTAACAACGACGTCATCGATGAGCTCTTCGTTCCAACGTTACATTTCCTCCTGGAGGTGCTGCAGCTCGTCTGAATCAAGGACTTGGTCATCGTCAACGCTGGACTTCGCCACGTTCTCACGTGTGACAGGCCCTTTGACGATGCAACAGTTCATCTAAAGCGAAGACACATTGTCATTATAATCTACGGTGCCGATAGCGACAGACGAGTGCTTGTGAACTCGCGACATGCGGCTAGTAAGTCCTTACCAGGTACAGTGATGCCCCCATTTTTGCACGGCCTGATTCTCATAAAATATAAAAGGTGTTGTATTCAAAAGGATCGCACGCATATCAATTTTTCAAGTTACTCATCTTACTCATCACACTGCAAGAAGTCCACTGGCATGGCGGAGCTCACACGAAGGCCACCTAGAGCTGCCATCAACGATCTTTGAGGTAAGATTCCTGTGTGAGCCCAGCAGTTCCTGATAGTGGATGCAGAAACCGCATTCCATGCCTCTGTAGCCCAACGCATCGCCTGAAGCACGTCGCAAGCTTACGGGTTCTTTCGTTATTGTTCTATCACAGCCCCACCAACGGTAATGCTGTCCACAATTTCAATTGCACGACTCAATTGACGTTGCTTGTAGTACACCTTGAAAGTTGAAATTATCCCGGTTTCCATAGTTTGCAGAGCTGAAGTGGTGTCGGGAGGCAGCATAACGACATGGGCATTGCAGACGTCCGCCCGAACAATCTGATGGGATGACGTATTGTCCGGGAGTAATATTATCGTCCAGTTTTGTCTCTTCATGCTTTCATTGAGTTCCATGATCCATTCGGAAAAGCAAGCAATTGCCATCCATGCCTTACGATTGCTCCGGTAGTACAAACTCAATTCAGTGGCGGTAAGAGTTGCAAAGCATCTTGGCCGTTCTGACTTTCCAGTGAAAAATGGAGGGAGCTTGTGAGACCCGTCAGCGTTTGCAGCAAGGGCAACCGAAATGCGGCTCTTGTCCTTCTTGAGGCCATATAACGGCTTGCATGATATCGAGGTTTTTGGCTGGGCTTTGTAGAAGATGCCAGTTCCGTCCTTGTTATAGACGTCTCTGACTGCATAAAATCCCGTCTCTAACAAGAGGCTTTCCTGACCAGTTTTGACTACTTTGGGCTCAACCGAAGCGCTCTAGTCATGGAGGCGATGAACTCTGAAGTTGTGTCGCCTTTGAAACTTGAAGAGCCCTCCTTAGGAAGCGCGAAACTAGCTTATGCCAGTTGAGCTGCGAGGCGAGGGGCTTTTTGTTTTTAGGGTGGGTCCAGTAATGCACACATTATTGGCATTTGCTGCGTCCACCCAAGTGGCCAATTTACTGTCGAGCTCGGGAAATATTGGGGGCTTTAGATTGGATCGGCGGTGCATGGCCTTGTTTGCGATGTTGTACGACTTCATCTCTCTGGTGTCCTTTCACTATACGCCCAACAGTGCTTTCTTGGATCAAACATCCAAATTTCTTGCTTGCCCAGATCGCTAATCGGGGACATGTTACTGACCCTTTAGCCTGGCTTTCGAAGAAAGCTCGAAATGTATCTTTTTGTTGCAAGGTGGGCCTTTTCCCACCCAATGGCATCACGGCTGTTTTGGAACCAATTTTGAAATTCAAATCCCACCTCTTAGAACTTCATATGTGACTTGCATCATTTCATAGAGTGTATCGGATATGGACGCGTGCAAAATTGGGGGTTTTAGACCTCTAGTTCTGTCACAATATTCCTTGTCAGAACGTGCTCAGTGAGTAAAATTGAAGTAAATGACGAGAACGCCTTGGACTAATCAATCAATCGAATATTACGTCAGTGACATTCGAAATAACGTTGGCGACATTTGAATTCATTTTCTACTTGGTCTTTTTTGACCATGTGTTTTTCACCGGGTTCAAAAGCACCAAATAACGGCTTGGCACGTGGCTCAACGGTTAGAGCGACGGCATCAAAGCGATAGAGGAAGGGGCCCAGGGTTCGATCCCCGGGCAGTGCTGAGTATTTTTTCAGTATTCAATTATTATCACAGATATACACCAAAAATGCAGAAAAAGTTGTAGAATCCGAATCTAAACGCCATTCGACCATCGCCGGTCAATAATAGGACTGACAGTTTCCAAACGTCTTACCCCATATTGAGCTTGATTCCGACTGTGCTTTCTGGACATTTCAATAGACATGCTGCTGTATCTTGCGAGGACACCTTGGTAGTAAATTCCGTCTGCACCGCGCAAGGGCATCCAGGCAACGTGAGCATTTGTAAGTGCACAGCAAAGTCGAGCAACACGATCGAATCTCGACTCATTCCACTTGTACGTAGACGACATGATCTTCCACAGATTGCACATCCGGCCAAAGTAGTTTTCAACGAGAACACGGTCAGGGGACACCTTGGAGTTGCGATCCAGCTCACGAGCAGTAAGAACACCTCTTTGAGGTCTGCGCTTTGGTTGAATCGATCGGAACTCATGCTGGATTCCTTGGTAGCCCATGTCGACGAGTACGCTCCACGAAGAAGGCCAGCGCTCGATCCCTTCACCGCGGTCAGGTAGGTCCATCTCGTCAGCTGTCTTGCAAAGCATGGCAGTGTGTGTGTCCTTTCTTGACAAGAATATCGTGATGTCTGACACAGAACCAGGTACATGCTTGGACAAGTCGACAGCCACACCAGGATACGCCACAGAGCATTCAAGCCATAAAGCTTGTGCTTGCCGGAGTAATAGTGTTTGGCTTCATCAAATCGTCCAGTAGGGCGGTAAGAGGGCTGGAACTTGACGTCGGTACAGTACAGCTCTGATGGGAAGTTGGAAAAGGTGCGGTCGCGTTCAATCAGTTGCGTCATGGTAACTGGTTGGACGTAGTGGCCGTACAAGACGGGCCCAACGTGGTCAATCATGCGGTGAATCATCTTCTCGAATGTAGGCGCTTTCATCTTGAAGTCGAGAGCATGCTTATCCCAAGGATTGTGGTGTTTGAGCACCACCAATGTCATGTAGAAGGCGTCTTTAGCAGGCGTGGGCGACTTTCGACCGCGACCCAGCGTCCAAGATGGAACTACTGTTGATTCAACGATTGCCCAGATCGATTCGAACTCCGCAAACGTCAAGTTTATCATCGTTGTTAACGAGGCATTTCCGCCTTGCGCAAAGAAGCTGTCCAAGATCGTAGTTGGAGAATCATTGGCGTCCTCAACCTGTTGAGAATGGTCGTGGTAAAGTTGACTCATCTCATCGAGTTTGAGGTGCTCATTGTCGAGTTCTTATTGAAGGCGGATGACGACGGAGTTTGGGTCCATTTTTCGCGTTGTGGAAGATTGAAATTTGATGTTAGGACTCTGAAATGTCTGTTGGGAGTGTAGAAGCATCACACAAAATTCAGTTGCGTAGATTCGTGTCAATGAAGTGGTAAAATCCACAAAATTGAACCATATTGTATTTCACAACGGTAATTGTTCCGCGACCATGTCACACATCGTGTACACATCAGTTGTTCAAACTTAACTGAAGTCTATAAGTTAATACCCAATGACAAATTTTTATACCATTGACTGAATTAAATAGAATTTAAAGACACGTCTTTAGGTTATTGTCGGGGCCAATTAGGATCGCGCACGGGCAATACGGATTGTAATATAAATATGATAGAATACGAATATCAAGATACTAAGATAAGTGGCGTGTAGGCTGTGAGAGCAGCAGAATTTAGCACACTTCAGGAGACATTTAGCATTAGTGTGCGACGAGTTATGAAGAAAAAACACCAGCTCTCACCAGCCGAAAAGTACTTGGTTGTAAAATGCCATGAATACTACTTTATTATGAAGCTTCCATTGGCAGTGATTAAAACGTTGTTCAACCTAATGCGTTTTTATATAAAACCTTCCATATTACCTATACTTCACCTTAGCCTGGTTAGTTTTGTCCAATCAATTGTCCTAAAAATAACCCTATTCTCCAACTGGAGATGTTTTTCAATTGCCGTTTTTGCACGGTGTATTAATATTCTTTACCATTCTGAAAGCGACTTGTTGGCGATTTATCCGCATCAGAAAAAATTGTTTGACGTTTTTTATATCATCGTTTCGTCGAAATTGGACATCTCCTTGAAGAGTTATGAGGTCTGAAATGTTTGCCGATCCCAATCGGCCTTGACAATAGCAAATTATTTTCCTGTAATACTGCCGGGAAATTGGGCATTGGGTTTAAAGGTAACAGACGGGTAATCAAGAGACCTTGACCTTTACCTCCCGTTTAACTTACACGCTGGGTACATCATTACCTTTCCTATGCCTTTTACCGAATTACCGGGTAAATCCCGAAATTTGCCCTCCCTTGCCGAGGTTTATGACACACTGCAGTTCTGACAGAGCATCACTTGCACACACTGTCGCCAGTTGAATACACCACGAAAATTCTGAATGTATGGTTTGGGCCCAAAAAATTGCCTGCATTGGCTTGAGTGTGACTTCGTCGTTTGTTAGCCGCAGCACCTCCGCGTGCCCAGACGAGCCTTCATCGCAAGTCAAGTTCCATCACGCCTTTCATATAACTATGAAACCGTTGGCTCGTTCGAATGTTCGGGCAACCTTTATCATGAATTCATCTATTTTGGTAAGAACGAAAATCTAAAATGAGGTCATGTTTGATATCTACTCCAAGATAAAATTGTCAATATTTAAGGGCCATTCTGGAATAAATGAAGAGATTGAATCAATAATTCACATCGGCCGCGTCAATATATGAGTGGTAAACCTCGGCGCGGCGATGCGGCGGCTTCGCGACCGACAACGGAAAGCGTCCTGCAAGAAGGAGACATTGTGTGGGCCAAGATTCCCGGCTTCCCTTTGTGGCCAGCCATCGTATTCTTTTCGACGCAGTCGCTGTATGACCATGGACTCCAAATTCCGCCCAAGACTACTGCATCCATCGATACTCCCATGGTTTGTTTCTTGGACAGCTTGCAGTATGGCTGCGTGACACGGACCAGCATCAAGCCATACTTATCGTACGACGTGAAACAAGCCTTTCAGACGGTGAAGAACAAGAAGACACTGAAGAAGGCTCTCGAAGTGGCCGTCGACCGAGCCGAACAAATCCTCTTTCAGGTATGCTCGGCTTCAGACGACAAGCCTACTCGAAAGTTCACTCCCTCAAATGTCTAGCACTCGCACATTCCGTGGTCCATGGCGGACTACGAAGGGATCACAGATCCCATTGCACGAGGGAAAACAACGACATCACGACAGGCGGCAATTGCAAGTGACGACGAGGACGTCGAGAGTGAGGAGGAGGAAAAGGAGGAGGTGTCGGACGAAGATTTCCACATCAAGAAGGAAGGAGGCAACCGCCGACCGAATCGCCGAAGCGTGAAGGTACCTCAGGACACCACACCACCAAGCAAACGAGCCAGAGTCGTTCGTGGCAGCACCAAAGAACATGTGACGCCAGTACGGCGCCCTCCTTCGGCGAGGCGAGGCAAAGTCCTGAGCGATAGTCCTCTGGAAGAGCCATCGCCGAATTCCACACGCGGTTCGGCCGGCCGTAAACTCGTGGTCGCAGAAGCAGACTGCCACGTCGACATCCCTGCAATGGATGTCGCGGAGAAACCGAGCCCAGTCCACTCCAACAAGGGGTCGAAGATGGATAAACCGAACCCAGTACACTCCAACAAGGGGTCGAAGATGGACATCGTCATGTCACACCCGACGGAGCATGCGATTGAAAATGATGACGAGGCGACGATACCAAGCCACCAGAACGAAAGTAGCACCGACGATGGTGGTGCCGTTGGTGAAGACTGCAATGATGCCAAACATGTCGACGACGACGACAGCGATGATAGCGAGGATGATGATGCTGCAGACGATGAAGAAGGTGGTCAGGGGCTGGGTGCGCTCACGGACGAGCAAATTGCGTTTTTGGAAGAGAAACTCCTCCGGGAAAAGGAAAAACGCGAGAAGAAGCGCGCCGCCAAACAAGGTACTGCACACAATCGCTCTTCGTTTCACTGATTCGTTTGATGCTTCCCACAGCAAAACGACAAGAGGCACAAAATGTCCCCCCCTCGACGCCGTCGACGGCCGAGACGTCAGAGCCCCGACCACTTCGGGACTCGCGCAAGCGTAAGCAGGAACAAGTGGCTGCTGCACCTGCACCGCCACTGACCCCGCGCGAGGCAGACGCAAAGCGGCGCGCAGCCCGCCTCAAGTCTGCTTTGGACTTGACAAAGCACAGTCTGAAGAAGCCCGACATCGAGGAGTGGATGAAAATGACAAAATCGGAACGAGATGCGTTCCATAACTTGAAGAAGCGATACCAACGTGCGTTGATATTGATCGAGGAAGAGCGCGAGGCCGTGGAGCAACGAGAGCGACGGCAAGTCGCCAAGCGACCTGTAAAAGCGGAGGTCGTCGACTTTGACGCTTGGATGAGCGAGAAATCAGCGTCGCAAGAAAATCCTTGCGAATACCCTTCGAGTCGGTCGATGTCGCCACGCGGGATGACAAAGCAGGAGCGTTCGAGTTCTCCTCCGCGTCCAAAGCGAGCCAAGCTGGCGGCCAAAAATCCGTCTCAGGAGCTTCCGCTCGTGGACCAGACGACGTCGAAGCCCTTTGGGAAACAAGCAGTCGGCCGGCCTTCTATTGTCAAGCCCCCCTTGCCTGTCGCAATTGGGCTGAAAGCTGAGCCCCCCATTCCTCGCAAGAAAAACTTCGTTCCGACAACTGCTGTGGGCCATCCAGGAGACATGGCGGTGGTAGCGCAGGAAGGAAGCGGTCTGTCGGCCAACGTCTTATCCAAAGGGCCCGATAAAAAGCAACCACCCAAACGTGCCCGGTCCGCGAATGCAGCTGTCGACAGCGACGACGACGTGATTGAAATGGTACAGTCTCTTTTACATGTACCATAACAACGCCTCATGGAGAGTATGGCAGTGGAAGCCCCTCCAGGAGAATGCTGACCGCCCGCCTCCGTCGTCCTTGCTTCGCCAGTGGAAGCGCAACCACGAGAAGAAACAGCGCCTACTTACCAGATATCGCGGCCCGGTAGGTGTTGGATTCAACTACTTTCGTGCAAAATCCAATGATCCTTTCACGCGGCGAACCAGGTCCAGCAATCCCCGCTGAGCTTTATCTGGCAACGCATCAACACGTCGTTTCGATGCCACACCGACTTTGTTTGGGATGATGCAGTTTTTAAAGACTCTGTGAATGGCGGGTCGGTAGCGTTTCTCGAGGCAGCGGCGGCAGCAGGCATCGACGGCGCGACCGGAGGACCCATGCGAGGCAAGCGCCAAGTGGTACGTCCATAGTGTAAATGTTTAACGTCTAGATGGTCATCCATGCGGTGTAGAAATCGGTGCAGCATTCGCAGATCCGACAAAACCTGATGACGAACAACCTGGACCCGCACACGATGGTCGAGTGCATTCAGTACGCGAATGACGGGAAGACCCAGGCAGAGAGCAAGACGCTCGTGCAGCCGTACAACGTCCGCGTCCATCCTGACGCAATGTTTGTGTGCGATTTGCACTCGCACCTGGCGATCTGTGAGATCATTGGGTTTTTGGGCGGACGGTATGACGAAGCGACCAAGACAGTCTTTATCCACGCGGCATTTCCATGCCGTTCGCTGTCGATTGCCGGGGACGATGGCGCAACGGACGTCGAGATGGACCCCGAGAGCGAACTGGAGCTCCGCGAGCTGATTCGAAAGTCCCATCTCGACGTGGTGGGGTGGTACCATTCGCACCCAGCTTTTGCGCCGGATCCGAGTGTTCGCGACATTGAGAACCAGGCGAGCTACCAGTCCCTGTTTGCCGCGGACAAGGCGGTGGACGTGTTGTCGACGCCGATCCCGTTTATCGGGCTCATCGTCGGCACATACGACCCCAAGCGCACCATCCCCGCCGGCCTCTTTCGGTTCTTCCACGTCCGCGGTGAAAAGGTGCTGTGCCCTTCTGTGATCGTCTTGACAACGAGTATGTAGAGCGGCACGGGACAGCGCGGCCCGATTGTGTTTTTGCCTTACGAGTTGCAAGCGAACACCCGGCAGTACCATGTCAAAGCCACACTCGACGACGTTTCTTGTGATGCTGCGAAATCGTTGCCAGCACTACACAGCCCTAACTCTTCGACGGCAGACAAAGTGAAAGACGACGCCTTCGACACGACGAAGGAAGAGCCGTCGAGCAGCACAGTTCCTGACAACGCTGCGGGGGATGTATTGAAGTGCGCGGTGAAAGCAGAATCGAAAGACGACGAGGTGCATGGAGCAATTCGTGCGGTCGATGCCGCCGCGTCAACACAGATTGCCCCAGACGAAAGTGATGCGTTTGTCACGTGGACGGTGGACGAACAAAAGCAATTTGAAGTCGCGTTCCTTCGCGGCGAATCCGCAGACACGATGGTGATTCCGACCAAATCCCCAGACGAAATTGCCGATTTCTTTGAGGAGTACACGCGCGGTACCAGTCGAGAGGGCGGCGAAGTCCATGGCCGCGTCCTGTCGTTCGAGCCCCACCTACGTCTCGCCATCCACCTCCCTCACCAAGTTGTACGTACCCCTGACCCCAGCACGCATATGACGGTGAACTTGGCAACAGCATGCAGCGGATGCGAGTCGCGACCGCCTGCGAACCAAGTACGGCCGCGGCATCTTGGACTGCGTCGAGCAGGTGCTCCAGCTTATCGATTATTACCGCACATTCAACCGCCGCGTCAACCTCAAGGACTCGTGGTATAAAAAGGTATCGTCCGGACCGACGGGTGGCGCTTATATGTCGACTAGATGAATAAGTTGGACAAGATTCGGCAATCGTTGCGGGAATACGCCAAGGACGTGGACGTGCCCGAGGGGATGCAGCAAGCGTTCGTCGAGGTAACATTGGATGGATGCGGGCGCGTGTACTCATCGGAGAATGCCCAGGACATTGTGCAGTACTTGGATTTGTCCTGGAGTTAGTAAACTCGGTGCTAATTTATCCGATCGTGTTGTGCGAACTTCTTGGACGGTGTCACTACTTTAGGTTCTTGAGCGTCGCGGTGTTTGTCGACGGTCGGCTGGACAAGCGGCCGCGCACAAACCCACCGAGGCCACGGGCCTCCGCTTGCCGCTTTCGTTCATCTAACGCATGCACCTTGGCGTTGTACTTGGCCGGTACATCGCGGATGACGCCGTCAGCGTCGCGAAAATCGGCGAGCACTTTGGTCACGTCCTGTACTTTTCCTTCGGCCATCGCGACGAGGAACGGGATCAAGTCTTTGAGCTGACGGTCCGTTCGGTCTTGGCCATCCGTGTACGGTGGGACGTAGATGGCGTTTTCAGGCTACCGCCGTCGATGATGCTTTTGCGCAGACATGCACAAATGTACCTGCAATTGGAAGTTTTCGGGATTCGAGTCGATGAGGATGATGCGCTTGATATCGCGGTTCATGGGCGCCAAATCCTACGCCGCACGCATCAACAGGACGCAACTGGCCGGGACTCCATTGGCAATACCTTGACATGGACGTTGTTGACGAAGTGCGTCGCATCACGGAATAGGTAGTGGAAGGCACAGCCCTAGGAATCATGCACCACGCTAGGACAGCAAGACGACATGGTGGCAAACCTTATGATTCAATTTCGCCAGCACTTCTTCCACAAGACCTTGCGATTCGCTGGAAAACAACACGATTTCGTAGTGCTACACATATTCAAAGATCATCCACGCACGGCGCATAATTTCATCAAATCCACGAACATACTCGAGAAAGAGTCTCCATGAACTCATCTACGTGAGGTCGCTTGGCGTGTCGCCAGCCATACTTGCGCTATGGACGCACGATGAGTATCCTGTGACGATGTGATTGCAACACGTACATCCCATTCCGAATGAAGCAACACATCTTCGACGGCGAGCACGAGCGTCGGCAAGGGCGGAAAACCTTCTGGGATGCCATAACCGGGCATTGGCCAGTCGGGAAGAAGCTTGTCTCGGGAGGGTTCCGTGAAAGGGCGGCAGATTTCCTTGATCTGCGCCAAAATCCAGTCGTACACATTTCCCAGAAATGTGCTGTGCACGGCATCGCGAACGGGGGCACGGACAGACTCCTTCAGGTAAAAGTTCCACCCTGCAATGCTCGCACCTGTAGTGAGCAGGAAGAGGCGCAATGCAATTCTGGACGCGGACGTGCGGCTGGTCTTGACCGTCGACCCTTCGTTTGCCGCCTCAGCTTGTTGCCGCAATTTGCGGCGCATATCACGCGGGATCTCTTTCAGCTCGCGCAAGACGAGCTTTGGGGTGTCTCCAACTACATTCGACTCTGCTACGGAGAACATTCGCTTGAGCACGACACCGCGCGGTCGGGCGATCACGACAAGAGCGCGGGACAACATGGTTGATACTGAACAATCAATGGTGAAATTTGGCTGACCAACGGTCCCAGTGAACCGGTCTAGCCACGAAATGAACCGGCGATGTAGAACCTACAAACTTGAAGTTAAACATTAAAACGCGTGCCGAATAGCTTTGAGAAAAACGCCTAACAATTTTAGATATCGGGATTTCTATGACAAAGCCACTAAAAAGCGCAGTATTACTACTAGTATATCTTGAAGTTGTGGAGAAGCACAGAAATGGATTTGAAAAAAGCGCGCGCTATGGCGCTTCCGACGACGACACCGCGGCGCTGTGCGGCGAAAGGTAATGCTCCATGCAAGATGTGTCTCATTGGGCATGTAGCGCAAGTCGTTCTCGTGAAGATGGGCCCAAGTGCTGAGAAAGTTATCTCCTTCCTATCGTCGTGTGGTCCATTCAATTGCCAACAAGTCAACGAATGCCCCGTCGACTTGATGTTCTGTGCCCAAGCACAGAACTTCCCTGCTATTCCATTCATATTCGTGCACTCCACAACGTGTGATGTTGTTGTCGACACGAAGGAGCGAGCGCGGCATGCTATATCTTTGTTCCCTTTCGTCCACGTTATCATTCTATTTCCCACCGCCCTTCCCTTGAGAACGAATCGTGAGTTGCAGGCCCTTCACCTCGATCAAACTCTATCCGACAAGATGCAGATCGTTTCTGCTTCATCCATCGAAACCGCGGTGCACTTTATGCTCTCAGTTCGTTCGAAACGATCCTACTCGTCACAGCAACGCTCCAGGGACTTTTATGATCGCGTACTTTGGTATTACACCAAAGGTCACTGACATATGTGTATGTATAGCTGTGGGCTCAAGTTGAGTCGAAGACGCACGCTATTCAAATCCTGCAGATCAACCTGCCTTTTCTCCACGAAGACGAGTGCGAAATGCTGCTCGATGTGTTTGGTACACAATGTTGCAACGTCTCCACAAACCTCATCATTGGCAGGGTCAATCGCAGAGGTGTCCCGTGTGTCCGAGCAAGAGTTTCTCGACCACACTGTCTTGGATGCCGACGTCATCAAGCTCATTGTCGAGTACTTTGAGCTTCCTTGCACCGCCGATCGACTTAAAACGGCACTGTAACTGTTAAGGACATTCGCAGTCCGTTAATGTGCTGTGTTCCCACCAGCAGGATGGGTATGTTCGTCGCGTCACACTATTACATTTGTTGACTCACCTTGTGGCGCAGGCGATAGAGACTCTAGCAGGCGGATCACAGGTGCCGATGTACAACGAATGAGCGAAGTGCGGCAGTGCCACGCCGACGTAGGAAGTCTCATCACAATGAATTCTGAGGCATCTTTAGGCCACAACCGCAAGTCCTCGCGATGTCGCGACCACAGTACGATCTCGTTAGTCGTGCATACGCTTCATAATTAATGTTGTTCCCACAGCAAGCCATGTGCCAGCGGCGCGTGAACCTTCGTGTCGTCCAAGACATGGTGCTGAAAAATCGCATTTTGCAAGAAAACGAGTCGAAGAAGGCCAGAAACCACGAAGTAATACTGTGGATTGCTGCTGAGATCACCACAATCGCTGCTTAGGTGTCTTTGCGTGCTCCACACACTGCCATTGAGCGCATCAAGGCAAAAAAACGACAGGAGCTCAAAGCATTGGTACGTAACTTCCCATCGCCCCTCTTGAGGTCCTCACAAGTATTCGAGCAGGACGACGGAGTCGAGGTGCTCATTTTGAACCAGCCGTCCTCTATCGAAGCAATGAATGTCGCTCGCATGCTCTCGCCGCGTTTCGCTGAAACAATCAACTACTCCCCGGACATCACCAAGAACTCTGCTGACGACGTGAGGGTCAAAACGTTGCTCCAGAGCGACCGAATCGGGTCTTACTACCGCTAACGTCCTCAACTCGATGGGTTTTAGAACTTATCGCGCAGGCTGTGCTTGGCAAACGCAAGCGAGTCGCCATATTTGGTGTGCTGCCGATGTATCCGGTGAAAGCTATTGGTGTTGTCTCGAGGATCGGCCGTCTTTTTGAAAAACTCCAAGTTGTTGCTGGTAGCAAACCGACCGTCCATGTAAGCGCGGTACTTGGCGGCGTCGGTCAGGTTGGGCTCAGACCACTTCTTGTGCAGAGTTTGGTACGTCGCCGCCTTGCTGTGGATGCCGGGAAACACTTGTCGCTCGTACTTGCGGAAGAGTTTCTTCGTCACTTTCAGCAAGTCGTCCTCGAGGTGCGTTCGTGCTGCTTTCAGCGCGTTCACTTGCTCGTCATCGTTGCAGGAAAGTGGGTCTTGACGAAATTCTCTCGCCTTTGTGTTGTTCTGTTGAGCTGGCGTTTCTTCAGTTGGATCTTGGGTATTTTTTCCCTTGCCACTTCGCTTTGTCGTGGCCCTTGTCGTGGCCAAACTGCAGCCAGACGCGTCCCCTGCGGTGCTAGACCGAGTTGCGATGCTGTAAGCGTCGTCTTCGCTCGGGGACAGCGGCCGCACGAGGGATGTGATCACCTTCTTGTCAGCCCCGACGAGTTTGCTCCTTCGCAGAACACGCTAGTGGACGAGAACGTCGACGAGAATGAGGACGGACATCAGTTGGTCAAGTGGGGCTACCGGCAAGGGCTTGTCTGGTATGAACACAACGCGGAGTTTATTGCGGGCTTCTTCGACGTCGCCCAACTTGGTGATGTCAGCTATGAGCGCTTCCCCCCGTCGAATCTAACGCAATGGGATTTGGCCGCGCATTGAAGGGATTGACGGACTTACACGTTGTGCTTGTTTGTGCTGCTTGTCTGTCGTGATGATGTGCTCCATTTCCTTGATCGTGTCTTGGGAGAATGTCTGCGGCTCAAGTCGCTTCATGAGATCCAAAGTCGAACACCCCTCTCCTCCATGGCGCGTGATGGACTCGAGAAAATCCGCGGCCGGGTCTGTGGCCATGCTGGTGCGAGGCAATGAGTTCGAGGCGTAGTCGAGACGCCAAGCTATTTTTACAGCATAAGATCGAGGAGAACCCAATCAAGAGATGGAATCCATTCGACCCCCCCCCTTCAACAGCCGCACAGCTCAACGGCAACAGAACGTGGCGCCTTCGTCTGTATGGCCATGACTGTGTGCATTCTTGCTTTGCCGACACGATGGCCACGCGTTCGCCAACCAAGCTGACTCTGGACAAAGCGATGCACCACCCCGCTTCTCCTGGCGGCAAAAGCCCCGTGAAGAAGGCCAAACACTGGGACTCACAGCCGGAAGGCGAAGGGTCGACGGAAAACCCTTGCAACTCGACGCAACTTCGCACGGAACTGCTCAACAAGGTGCTGGAGCTCCTGGACCAAGACGATTCGGTCGTGGACTTTGTGGCGTCTCTAGTGGACACGGTCTCGACGCTCCCCCTCCAGGATGCTAACATGCGCAGGGCCTTCCTCGCGCAGCTGCAGAACATGCCCAAGCCTGGGCGCACGAGTGGTCGGACGCAGTGTTTGAACCCCCAGTCGTGCCGTGCCTTCATCCTAGCGTGTGCGAATGAAATCGTCGACTTGGACGAGAACGATCCATCCTTTGACTACGCTGAGACGTGCGTCGACTCGGACGAGTTCAAGGACGTCGCGATTCGCCCGGTGTCACCACTCCAGTCCCGCGTCCACATCCACATCCCGACCGCCGACTATGCCGAGACGCTGTCGAGTCGCACGTCTGTTCCCGAGCCGCCCGCCGCCGCCGACGTCACGGCGCAGTTTCGCCGTGTTTTGCGTCAACACTTTGACTATGCATCGACGGTTCATTCGTCCATGTGCTCGAGCGAGTGCGAACGAGACGGATGCTTGCAAGTCGCGTTCTCGAAGCTGCACCAACATGCCCAAGAGTTGGCGAGAAAGCGCCAAATTTTTGACGAATTCAAGCGTCAAATGCCGATGGAGGTTCCGAGCCCCCCGAAGAAGCCATCGCCACGCCCCGAGACCGCGGTGGCGTCGAATCGTTCCATGCAGGACCTAGCAACCAAGTACCAAACGTTTGAAGCCCTCAAGTCGAACCGGAGCATGTCTCCAACCAACCTCAGTCGGAAGAAGCGTGCATTCTACAAGTTCAAGACGACGGAGCAGCCAAGGCGTTCCAAGGCCACAACTGCATCGCCCCACCACATTCAAGTGCAAAGTCAGCAGCCTCGACCAACGAACTCTGCCATGTCCGCTTTCGTCAAGGACTGCGCCATGAGTGCACTCCTTGTAGTCCTGGCGTGTATCGCATACGACGAGCTCAAGCTTTGGTAAGACTCGTCCCCTCTCATGTGTGTCGCTGCTGGCTGCTGGAGCGCTTTCACGATTCCATCCAAGTGATGCAAGTTTATCGGCAGATAGAGGGAGGGAGCGGGTTGAGAAGGGTACCGTTTGGTCACAGCCGAGACGGCACGTGGAGGACGCAAGCGTGGATGGATGCATCTTTCCAGTTTGGCGTACTGTGCACTGGTGGAAGCAGCGTCTCGACGCTGGCCGCAAGAGTTGTTGGCATGGCCGGCGCGAGCAATCCACTTGTCGTTCGCATAAACAACACCTGATAACAGCACCCAGCAGAGCCGAGTTG